TATAACATATTCCATAAACGAGACTATTTATACGATAACATTACACGAGCCTGACAATTAAGCACAAACACAATAATTTTGTTGTAAATAATTTACAAAATTTTGTATTCAATCGAATTAACGAACGCGTTCCCATGGCTCACTTTGGCGGATTCGCACGAATCGCCACGACGCCCATAAAAATGGCGAATGATCTCGTGTCCCGGTGATCTGGACCCTGAACGAAGCTGGGGTCCGATGATCGGGCGATAGCCATCACGCATTTGAGAGGCGCGGCACGCGTGGCTCTTGCTTACGTCACGCGATTAATTGGATACGAAGAGTCGCGGCTCGATTAATTTATCGAGATTAGCGTGAAGGGAGGCGAAGAGGAGGAAGGGGGGGGGGTTGCCCTTTAATGCACGTGGGCCCACTGCCGCGTGTATACCCCTCACCGAAAGGAAGGCCCCTGCCATATCTCCTGGCTCGATCGGTGGTCACCGGTGGCTTTTTAATACGAATAATCGTAAAACCGGCCGATATCTTTATCATCCGTTTGACGGGGAGAGGAGGCGGCGGCTCGTGCGATGCCTTAATTGGTCCCCGAACGCCGAGATTAAAGCGACGTTCAAGCTCCGACGGTCGCCATCTTTATCGCGAGTTCCACGAGGCTCTCCCGAAAGGTACCTGGAAAGAGTCTAGAATCAGCATTTTAATATCGTCCATATATCTCTTAGGATAAAACAAATATGTACCAGACATCCTTACCGGTTTACTTCGACAGTTTTACTGTACCACTTTGTACCGGCCGATCGCGCTGGGCACGTCCCGAGGTCAGGAGTAAAAATTGCATCCGCCTCGTTATACGCGTAACGCGTATCTGATTAATTAGACTGAGTCGTCCGTGTCTCTAGTTGGCAATATTACAGGGTTGGTAGGCCTAGAACGAAACGGGGCTTGAGGGTCTCGTTGCAAGTTCTTTTTTCTCCCTGCGAGCATCGTCGTGATCCAGTGCGAACGGTACAAACCAGTCTCTAAATAAAGTCACCGTGTAACTCTAGCCAACTTCAGGGCGTTGGGCACTCGCGACTATGCGTCTAAGAAATGGACGTCCGTACGTAGGATAGTTCGATGCTTCGAAGTTTATAGTATCCAGTGTGCTCGCACGCGTATATCCATACGGACAAGGCTTATATAGTAATAACGGCGCTGCCAACTTTGCCGCCAAAATAACTGACTGCGATTTCTTTGCCGGCCCGAGATATATCGTCTTACGACGCCTCCCTAAATCAGGGCCCGTCGATCGTAATGTTCTCCATGTAAATGTAACTCGTGGTAGCAGCAGGCACCGCGGATATAATTCACGCGGAGCCACTAAACACCGCAGGATTCCAATTTACCGTCGGACACGAGGGAGGACGCGTCTGCTCGGCCGTGAAACCGAAGTATCACGAGGACGCCCGAAGACGTGCCCTGGTATACGGAGACGAAAGGCTCTTGGACAAAGGGAAATGCGATCGTTAATGGGGATTTGGCTGGTACGGCTGGATTACAAGAGGATCGTCAGTGCTCCGGAGAGGAAAGATGGTGAAAGCTATGGTAATACGTAATAAGAGCTTTCAAAGGATCCCTGGATATCGAGGATTCTCGTTATACGGTTGGACTGGTTATTAACGTTGCTGGACCACCCGATAGAGGTTGATACGTGGACGGCTACTAATTCGTTAGATATCGAACTGGTAATACCGATAACGTAAAGGCCCTCTGGACCACCGAGACGCGACCTAAGTGCTCTCGATCCTCTTCATTAATTTATATCATTTATCAGGCTTGCACGTAAGTCCGTGATTGGTCCTTGTCGGTTGTTTGGATTTTTTTTTTATTTCAAATTTTCATACGGATACGTCTCTGGATAATGACATTTTTTTTTAATATTTCCAAAAATTTTTTTTAATATACAATCAAGCTACCTGGTACTCAGGATCGTGCGACGACTGTTCTGAACTCTGAGGTCGGATCGTCTTTGGCGTTCAGGAGTTCGGGAGGAGCCCTGGTAGTAAAGGAGGGAATCGCGTGGTGGGGAAAAAAAAAAATATATATTAAGTAACAAGGGTGCGGGTAGTTTTTGCGGGTTCATAAATTCGGCACGACTGCATATCCAATCATGGTAAATGATTTATACGGAGGCCGTCTTGTGTAGCCACCATAATATCTGCCTATAACGTATATCACGCGTTAGATGGATATGGACTCTCTTACCTTGCCGATACATGGTACACGTGTACGTCTACGAGAACAAAAGAACGTGAAAATTAAGAACTTCGTGATACAGTATCACTGATAGTCTTGTCTTTGAAATTGAGAACTTTATTATATCGAGGTACTGGCCATGTAAGTGACACACTACGTACGTATATAATAATTTAATATATTTAATTGAATTTCACACCATCTTCCATAACGCGGATGGATCGTCTTAGCCATTATTGAAAATTCATTTGACAACTCGCTGCGTAACGTTGATTGGACCAATTTTGGGAGCAGTCCACGTGGGCCTGTTCACTTTTATAGGCCCATTCCTTCGCTCGACCAATTGAGACGTCGTCCTTCTCGGAACGCGAAGAAGGAAGTCAAACTGACGGCAGTCGAATTTACACCGTCATTCTTTCTATACGGTGGTGCCATCAAGTTTTAAGCCATTAATTTATCTCCTGTTCACTTTGAAGATATTTTCTTGGGCTGCGGAGGGGGGGGGGATACTTAAAAAGAGAGAAAAACAGGAAACTGGAACGAGACCACTCTTTACGTGTCCAGCCAATTATTAAACAAGCATACGTGTAACTGTATGAAAGTTTGAACTTTTTTTTCGCTTTGAATCCTTTTTTATCTCAAAGGATACAACGATTAACTAATCATTAGACGAATGATTTACATCCCAAGCTGTAACGTGTGCATCCAATGGATCCACCCATTTCTATATCCACCCATTGTGTGTATATATATACATACAGTATACTGCACCTATGGGAATGCAAGATGCCACCGTGCTTATCTCTTTGCTTTATTTTTCCACGCCGTATGTATCTTCCTTTGCATCGAATGCGTAGCTCGAACTGTAAAAGGGCCTTGGCGAAGGTTCCGCAGACATGTGGGATATTTAGGACATCTCGCTATCCGGTTAGCAGGATTTATAGCCAGGCAATGCATTTAGATAAAAGCAAAGCACTGCGTTTGCGCCCATTTGCAATCCGCCGTAAGCCCGAAACGGGAGAGACTGAAATTTTTGTCTTGCGTACCATAAGATTCCTTGAATATTTCTTAGACCCTTAAAATAACAAAAATTAAAGAAAAAAAAAAATACAAACATTTACCCAAACTCATACTTACTTAGATTATTTATGTTGGACAATTTAATAAAAAAACTCACTTGCCAAATTTTCATCGCGAAATTAACCCTTTGCACTCGACTATCTCCTCTCAGGCAGCAAAATAATTGATTAATTAATCATCTAAAGTAACATTGACTACTCGATTACTAACGATGATCGTGTCTGCAAATGATAACCGAGCTTCCACTTTGAGTGTCAAGTGAAAGTATATGGATTTGTGCAGCGAGCAGGATCCATGTCGATATTTCATTAATCGCAAGCGGCATGTTATCTCCTGGAAGACTCCATTACTGTATCCGCATGTACCAATAATTCAACAAGTATACATACTATACATATATATAATATGCGAATACGTATATGCTGACTTTATACAGTAAGAATATAAAAATGAACGTCATTACTTACCTTAACTAAAACGCGTGCGCGTCGCATGGGTGTAAAATACTTGAGCGCCATTTTAAATTGCGCAACTACCCGTATGTTCAACTTACATTAGTATACACCTATATATATATATACTTTTATTGCAAAATCTTGCATTCGAATGGACGATCGCGAGGGACTGTATATATATATATTCATGTATATCTAAACTAACTCATCGTAACCGATCACGTGGAACGACACGAAGAGAGATGATTTAACGAGGGCCCCGATAACCATGGTACGGGAGTCAGCACTGGTGATAATTTCCGTAAATTCCATTGAATTCGCTTTAACGGAATTCCAGCTGTTACCGTGCCCATGCCGATTGCGATAATTCCAGATACCACGAATAGTCTTGGTTTTATGGAAGGGATCTGTGTAGTCGATATAAAATCTTTCTCACGGGTGTACCAGCGCGGATTGAAATACTCTGTAGAATTAATAACGGTACTACAAAATTGATAAAGGTATTAGAATATCGATGGAAAAATCAGCGGGGTTACGAGAATAATTAATTATCAGGAATAAATAATATAACAATTTACCTGGAGCCTTTCGAATTTTTGTCACGTTACTAATTCCTTTGATTTTGTGTTGGCAGTCGTGGCGATTTCTAGAATCGATTGTACATACTTGTAACGCAACGCGGTAACAAGTTATTGGAAGCCATATAGGCAACGAGATCAAACGATGTTAACATCGTTCAATCGATTCTGCAAGATCGATACTCGATCCTTATCCAGACCCAGGAGTCTGCGAAAACTTGCTGAACTTGACTCACACAGTCTGTACACTGAGTATGTATATTCCAGTACTTCTAGATTTTCATAAAACACGGTGTTCACGATGCTTTAATACCTTTTAGAGAGCCATGAAATGGTCCATGGTTATTTCACGGATGAGATAAACTAAGAATGAAATCTGTTCTGCGCATAAGCATTTGTCGTTGCGTGCAATGCGCTAGGGAATAATTTAATAGGTTATGTAACCCACTAGAGGACTCGTTGGCATATTCGCGGTACTTATGCATTCAGTACAAGAAAGGTCTTATTCTCATTGCGCGAAATGAAGTGTAAGAGGTCGCTTTGAAGCATTCAACAATCAACATGCAGGTTGCGGTGCGCATTAAATGGCGTCCGATTCGTTTCGCTCAAGCCAGTGAGACAATGACGGCACTAAGAATAAATGTAACGCAACACATACCGAACGTTGATATCTCGGGTTCCTTGGAAATTCGTATCGTATCATTTAGTGTCACGTACCTCGTCCAAGAGAATCCTGCAGCTTTCGTTATAAGTACAAATCGAGAAAGGGTGGTTAAACTTTCTTGAATTCGACAGGCGACATTACAGTCTACGATTCAGGTTCGATTCGTTCGTTTCACTCGTTAAACTTCACTTGCCTATATTCCCCGAGAACGTTTTTTGTTTTGTTTCTACCTTTTGCTAACACTCGTATCGTATAACCACCATATTGTCCACTGAGAACGGCGTATCGCGAGAAACATTTGTTCTCGTTACACGGCCAGTCAAACCCACGACTCCATCTTGAACACCCAGCTTTTCTGTAACAGCCCGTGAACTCAGCCACGCCAACGCGATTTCGTCTGCTCTCTTCGTGCCTAGTGACAATATCCTAGTGACAACAATACGTTGGTAACACTGGTGCGCGGTAGATCTTACCTCGTTAGAATTAGCAGTGAATTCTTCTAGTGACCTTTTTGAACTCAAGTAACTAGGAGAAATCTACTCGTACGACTTGTTTCGTTTTATTGGATTGTATTGTCATTCCGTAATAGAAACGAAGAAACGTAACCGTTTACGTTAGCAATGGCGGATCGATTGCCCCGTTCACTTCCGTCGACGGTCTGTTAGTTATTAGTCACATCGAAGGTCAATTTCTCGGTCACGACGTTCTTTACCTCCAGCCAGCAATATGCCTGCCAGCAACGTAGCAATCACGATTCTTAGCCTACGAGATGGCGTACGATATAAATTCGTGTCCAGATTGCGGAACCTGAACGGGCAAACTTAAACGACATTGGAAATGCTTCGAGAATCACGAATGCTCATTCGAGACACGAGGAGTGGTGATTTTTTAAATCTCTCTATGAGATTTAACCTACAGTGTATCTGGACTAGGTGGATAATCATTTTCTAAGGTAAAGACTTTCGTAAATTCCCGATTATAATAATCTTAAACTGTTTCAAAGCTCACAAGCAATCTGCACGCATTTGAACGTTACGTATTAGCATGCTACGACAATGCACCGTATAATACAGAATAGTAAGATTTATTAAGCTGCGGAAGGTGTGGTAATTATATGCACCAGATAAAGATTGCTTGCGCTTAAAAACGACTCGCAGCTAGACTCATAGATATTTATGCATGACGTAGTTCTCTAGTTAAAGCATCTCTAGTTAAAAGAAAAAATGACAATTATTACTGCGAATCATTTGCATTTTAATTAACAGTTTCCTATGTACTGTATGAACGTCTGGATACACGTGTGTTAACTAACGCGTTCAATGTGTCTCGCCAGGGAATTAATAACAATAGCATTCAATCGTTAGCCTGTCTGTAATAAATTATTCTTCGCGTCGTTTTATCTGCTCGCAAGAACACCGTAGGTTAGCAAATCAGGAAAATGTTTCTTGCACGAGATAAAGAGAGAAATCGACGGAGATCAAAAGAGACGTACTGAGAGACTGAGCCTTCTCGTGGCAATGACTAGAATAGCCAGTGATACTAATTAAGAATTTAACGGTACTTTATCCCGCATGTGCATCAGCGAGGCACCAGCAATTACCACATCGACATTATACGTACCTTCTTGAGCACTCGGAGCTGAAGGAATTCCGCAAGATTAATCCTTACCGGTCGTTACTATAGTTTCAGAATCGAGTTTGATGCTGGCAACATGGCGACAAGAAACCCCGCGGACTGGAATTCGTGATTCCCTACGGGAGACGTTGAAATTGTCTTTTATTCTTATGTTTTAATTATCAATATAAAATCTTTTTTTTTGACTAATTATCACTGGAGGATGAATAATCAAATCCATCATATATATATATGTGGTGTCTAACGTGTACGTGGGCTGTTTTTAGAGTTAAGGGATAAGGATAACGTCATATTCTTCTGTCTTGAAAATCTTTATGCAGCTTTTCGTCTGGACACGTCCATAAGATTTCTGCGAGGGTGTCGTTACTTCGGAAGGCCGCACCTGGTGCGATATTCCCTATAATTATAGCACCATTATTTTACCGCATCATTATTTTGAATTACTGGTCTACCTGGATCATACGAACTCTCTTGCTCGATCACTTTCTTGGCTGCTTCGTTCCCTGCCTGAATTTACTTGCTTGGTTAGCTGCTCGCTACGATGAGTGTAATACGTGACCGTGATGGACCACGACATCCATGCACGTTTCTGCACTTATTCTCTGTGCGGTTGCACGTGTGTTTGCTACGTGTATCGCAGAGCCTGGATTTCATCCATCCAGTGCCGGAAGATGCGTCCAAAGCGTACGGTCATCCTCTGGAATGAAATTTGAAAAGGATTTAACCTCGTGAGATCTAAGATTTTTCCTTTTCTTTTCTAACCCCATTTTCGTACAATTAAAATTTGAAAATCGTTATATAATTTTGAGTAGAGCATCGTTATGGTGGTTTATAGGATAAATTTATAGCTGGACAATTTTGAAATAAACGTATATCAATGGTATGGTCCATGGCAACAATGACTTGAAGGAAAATAATTTGTTTTTTTCTTACATTTTTGGTAATTTTTAATTTGCTCGGCTCAATTAAAAGCTCAGTCTGGGCCACACCTGCCTGTCCGAGGAACGCGTAAAGGGCAAGTAGAGTAAAAAAAAGTGCCAAGGGATAGGATGAGTGCATGTTGAATGCACTCATTAAATGGGCGCGGCATCGCTCTGCCAGATAACCGACAACCAGCAATATTATCGCACGTCTTCAATATATACAGGTTTCTCCAGCTTGAACGTGCTCGTTATCAGATTTGACAGCTGTCATACTACGATCGTTGTGTTTACGTATTACGTCAAAAAAACCATTTTAACAGTGCTAATAATATTTTTAATATACAGAAAATGAAAAAAACGAAAAAAATCATCTCGCGCATTAGAAATCATTAAAAAATCATCGTCACTCAAAGTAATACTTCAACAGAGTTAAATTTATCAAATTTAAGATCGCCTGTATGTCTGTCTCTCTTTTAAGCACTGCAATGCCTATTACTCCATCTCTCCCACTCACGGCAGGTATAGAAAAAACTTGAAAAATCGAAAAATTCAAACTCTCATCAATCAATCAATTTCGGCGTATCGTCAGTAATAATTAATGATCATCATTAATAAACAATTATACTCCACACGTGAAATCAAACAAGTACGTTCCAACTGGATAGACCTGTACATACACAATATAAAATTGTGAATAATCTCATCTAAGCGGGCTACGATCGATGGATACACGTATAAGGAGTACACGTATAAGGATCATCAGACTCATCTAAGATGGACGATCCTAATGAGAAGATTTTCTACCCATGATAACAAGATGCGTATCAAGACGAAAATCTTTGAGGAGTAATTTTCGCTGATACATTTATTTTTAAATTCTCATACAAGCAAGAAATCAATGATTCCAACGAATCTTCATGTTCAGAATCTTCGGTAATGACTTTCTGCCCTTTTTCCTGCTTCATCCTCCCCTCGACCTTTTCTGTCTCATTGTAATCTCAGGCCAGAAATTCGTGAGCAGCCAACCCAGTTGCATCAGGTTAGCCTAGGTCCAAAACACCGGTATCCTTAGACGTACCATTCGGCAGGCGTCTCCGTGCCTAATTTAAGGTGAAATATCGTGGTCCACGCCGATGGTGATTCTTATCTAAAGTGTATAATTATGTAGGCAGCCGCACCGATACCAAAAAGAATCGAGTGAGGACACTGCTTGTAGTAGCCCACATTTTCTTTTTTTTTTTCTCCTTAAAACCCGTATACCATAGGTACTACATACAAGTCCTCAATATATCAAGAACCTCTTTCCGGCGACGCCATTTTTGAAGCATAATCTTTAATTTATAGGTATTGATCTTTGTATACGTTAAACTGATCGGTGGTCACTCTTCCGTATTATTAGAAAGATATTTATTTATTATTGTCGCACGTCCGCTCGTCGATCCTTTCACGAAATATCGAATATTCGTATGGAAAGTGGTAACGTATATGACATAAACGAAAACCCAACCTAACCTTAGTTAATGAAATTTTAAGACTGCTTTAAGACACTTTTGAATTTACGTCATGGGCGCGGCTAAAATCGTTCGACCGAATACGCGGCTTAACGGAAGCCTTTGTCGTGCCGCCAGAATTGAATTTTCTATTAACTTTCATAAGCGAACGTTAAACGCGACTAAAAGACGGGAATTCACTTAACTATAGGCGGATACTGGTTATTCAGTATTTTAGTAAAAAAAAATAAATAAATTGAAAACTATAAGAACTCCATATATATCTTACTGGAAGCACTGATTTACTGTCTATGTAACGCGCGTAAAAGTGCCTTTTAACGACTGCTAGGAATGATAAAGATTTAATCGAGATGATGATCAGCCGTAGAGGATGGTCTAATGAATTTTTGTTCTCTAATCCCTAAGAAACGTGGTTTTCGTATATTACGAAATATAACTGCCGTGAGGTTAATGCGTATAGGATACCTACGCTCGTAAAGAATATACCGATGCCAACCTTAGATAAATGAACCGTGGTGCGCGAACCTTAGTAATTTACCGCGATAACATGGATCGGTGGATTCGAATTTTAAACTGGGTGTCGAAATCATTAACCTTATTCTATATTGGACGTCTGAACCTGTCGGCTACGGGAGAGATAGGATCTCTTGCAGTCAATCACGTACCGCGTCAGTATTTGACTTTGTGCGTCTTCTGAAAATCGATTATTTTTCATTAAAAGTAACTAGGGTAAAAAATATCCAACGTCGCTGCGGTATAGCTTTCCTAAGCTAACGTGTAGTAGGAAGTCGGGAAGATCGAATTCGTGTTCCCGAAGGATCGACGACCTCGCTGGCGCCTAAAATCGTAAAACCCAGGCTGGACGGCGATCGAGAAACTTTAGGAAATAGAACAGCTGCCTTATTAAGGGATAACGTTAAATCCATTAATTGATACTAATTGATCCAAGCTTCGATCGGCGACTAGGGAAGATTTCTTTGATCCGAGAAGAAATTCTTTGAAAAATTCGAACCGACGTTTTAAGATTTTCTAACGTGCTCTATGGACCTTACCTAATTGACTAACCCCATATAATTTTGTATATTGCAGAAACGTGGGTTATCAAAAGTTTCCTCAGTTGGAGGCTATGCGCGCCCTGGAGGTTTATGAAGTGGGTGCTTCGCCTGTGTGCACCGGGCTTAAAGGATTGTCACAAGGACAGGGAAAACTTTGTCAGCTTTCTCAGGATCATATGCCGAGCGTGGCGAGAGGAGCGAAAGCAGGTATTGCTGAATGCCAGCATCAGTTCCGAGATAGAAGATGGAATTGCTCTACGGTGGACGACGGGACTGTTTTTGGACCAGTTCTCGGTATAGGTATGTATATTCTATAAACTTGTCATAGGTAAAGGACAAAATGAAATCAGGATACCAAAGGTGTGAAAACGTAACCGGACAACTAGTAAGGCGAAGTACAGTGGAATATATACATATGCACGCACGTCCTAACACGAGTTCAGAATGGGAAGATTCGGTGTGAACGAAGCCGCAGGACGTCCCACCTTGCTTTACCTTTCCGGTGCAGGATGTCGGCATCGCACGCCAAGATCAAAGGACCCAGCATCTTCCTCGTGCCTTATGTATTACGTTTCATTCCCCGCGTTTCGTGTCTCGCTGCAATCGCGGCCATTGTCTTGTCCATGCGTCCTCCACGTAGCAGCACCGTGCACGCGCAACTTCACGACGTCCAAAAGGACGCCGTGCCATTCTGCACGCAACTTCAGCACATTGGACATCCTACGTTCCTCTTACTCGTACAATTCTCGACCAAGTCAAACGATACACCCGTCCGTGCACGATGCAAGAGACAACAAGATAAAATATCGAAAGGTCAAAGTTATCTACAATGAAACCAACGAAAATTGCCACGTTCCACGCATAAGAGTGCTTCAAGTGGGACATTAAGGATTCGCGTGAAAAGATCCTTCCGTCCGGCAAGTGAAACCCGGAAGTCGTCGAACCGGTTCGTCTCGCGGCCAATAATTGTCAAAAAATAAAAGTAGTGAGAAAATCAAAAATCCAAAAAAAAAAAGTGATCGGTGCAAGAAAAAAAAAAATGTTTTCTCTCTCAAGCACATATATCTGCTTCCGTCCTGAGGACGTTCGTCATATTTTCTCCGCGCTAGTGAATGACAGGGAGTTTTGGCCCGACGCGCGCGCACCCTTCCGCAACGGAGGAAAGGCCGGGGGTGCCAAGAAGTTTCGTTGCATATTTATGCGGTTGCAGGGGCTGAAAGTGTGGCACAATGGAAGAGCTACGTGTGCCGCTGACAATTAAAGTGTTATTAATAGCTCCTCGTGTCTGCACTCGTATTCCCTTGCATCCACGAGTAACCCTCCGGGTTCTTCCCTAACCCCCATAACCTCATCCTGTCCCGTCGTGACGACACCCTCTCACACTCCCTCGTCATCGTCCTCCCCTTCCTTCCCTTCTTTCTCCCCTGGCCATCCCTTTTCCTCCACCTTACACTCAGCCGCGGGCCCCGGCGTAAGTAATTCGATCATTCGCTTAATAAATCAAAGCCTGTCCTTGCCAACCTTGCTGTTCTATGCAACTACCCAAATGTCATTCCCAATGAGCGACGCCTGCCTATTCTCACGGTGCAATCGCGCCCATCGATATCATACGGAAAAATGCATCCAACCGCGTGCGACTCGGTGATGGATAACAAAATCCTGCCAATAAACCCACTCGCTGACGGCGCCAATATTTTTCTTTATCTTTTTTTGAAGCTGTCAATTCTTCGCTCTCTCTCTCTCTCTCGGCTGTATGCAACTGTCGAACGTGAGCATAGGCATGTCGTTATGTATGGCTACTTGCTGCTTCTCAATCCTTTGAGATCAGTCGAGGGCGATTAAACGCTTTGGCAAATGAGCGAAACCAGTCGCGAGATAACGCGCTTACTATCTGTCTTTCGTTCACGTGGGTGTTATCAATCTTTTACGTCTTTGTATTATTTTCAGCCAGTAGAGAAACTGCATTCGTACATGCAGTCGCAGCTGCTGGTGTCGTGTACTCCGTAAGCCGTGCCTGTAGGGATGGACAGTTGTCGTCCTGCGGATGTTCAAGAAGTGGGAGACCCAGAGATCTCAATCGGGAGTGGATTTGGGGTGGATGCGGCGACAACCTTGAATATGGTTACAAGTGAGTATATTGGGTATATTTTATATAATTTTTTTTAGCAGAATTTTCATTTGGAATTCAATACCGATGCTTTGGAGATAGTGCATCTTTCTTTCACAGCGAATAGTCAGGTAGACTTTTTTGACTAATTAATGTCGTTCAGGATTTTTTTTTTTTTTTTTTTTTTTTTTTTTTTTTTTTTTTTTTTTTTTTTTTTTTTTTTTTTTTTTTTTTTTTTTTTTTTTTTAAAAAAAGGACAGCAAGTCGTTTGTCTCTTTATACGTAATTTCACCCTCGATATTTTCTACGCGTTACGAATTCCAGACTCGGCGCCCTCGAATTTCGTGGCGAGCGAGGTAAATTTATCGTCACTTCCCACCTGGGCACCTTTATTGTTTCCATTCTCGGCCCTTTTAAAATTTATGCCGACTTTTTATGACCGTATCGGTAACGCCCACGCGTGTAATGTCTGTACTTGGAAATTTATACTTTAACGGTACAATGAGAATTTTCATATTCCAATACGTTTATGGAACAGTGCGCCATCTAGCCGGACGCAGAACGAACGTAAATTATAGGTAAATCATTATTATATACTCATTACTGTAGTCGTAACGAGCCGTGTTAATTCACTTCGTACTACAATAACATTAAGCAAACGTTTGATTGAACATTCGTTCAGTCGTTGTACATATAAATACCTACGGTAATAAGCAAATAGAATGACAATGAAAATGCTTATACAATTTCACGAGGCTCTGATACAGTCGACCCCTCGTACAGGGAAAGATAGTTTATTTCTACGTCATTGACCAATTAATCAATGGAAAGGTATCAATCCCATCGAAGGATGGTCGATGGAAAATCATGCCGGCTCATCCATTGTAAATTCGACACGCACTGTGATTCATGCGGCGTCCAAGGGATGCCGAATAAATAATCCGAGTATCGTAGCTATCGCTAGAAGATTCTGTAAATAGTATGAAATGAAAAAAGTATTTTTAACGTATTTTATACAAATATATATTTTATCATATAACCAATTCCTGTATTTATAATTAATCTCGGTGATATCGCCAGTGAATGGAATTCCTTAAGAATAGATTCCGGCTGCTGAATCTATAGTCGATTAATCTCTTTGAAATAATGACATAAAGAGGAATTGTAACGCGTTCACGGGCCAATAAAAAATAGATAAATAAGCCAATCACCAGTGTCATGAGAAACGAGCTGCTCGACCTCCTGAAATTCTATCCATCGAGTGGTACACTCTACGTGACATCTCTATCTTGCATTCCTAGAGATCATGCTCGGATGCTGTGGCCTCAGTTGGCTCCGCATATAAACATCTGTATCTATCCGCGTCATCCAATGAAAAAAAAAAAAGAAAGATCATAATTGAGACGATAGGCAAGAAAAACAACTGTCACGATGACAGCCTGCAACTTTCCAATACAGAAACAATAATAGAACTCATTTCCCTTTGGACAATGCAGATCAAACGACTGCAACCGACACGTGGATAAAGATTTACCTAATCTCGGATAGGGTTGCTGATCGATTTATCAGGATTCCTTAGAAATCCAAAAAAAGAGGATGAACAGCTTGTCGGATTATATAAGGCGGGTTGCACCCCTTACTATTTCTCATGGTGCAAGGAGGGTGAATTCCAAGAGGGTACGGTCTGCCTGGCGCAGCTTCCTTCAGTAAATTTCTGTCCGATGATGGGATCAAGAAAATCGTATAAGTCACCAAAAGACGGTACAACAACGAAAACCCATTGCGTATACATATATTTTCTTGTCATTTAAGATTCACTCAAGCATTCGTGGACGTGAGGGAGCGAGAGAGAAGCTTCAAGAGAGGAAGCAGAGAGCAAGGCAGGAGTCTAATGAATCTTCACAATAACGAAGCTGGCCGTAGGGTAAGTTTGACTAATTAATCATACATCATCAGAGCCATCATTACCAAGCATCGATTCTATTCAATGATGTCGGATTAGAGAACCAACAAAAAAATTCTTCCTGTACCAGACACTGAACAGTTTAAATTCACATAATTGATAATCGTTCTTTTATTGCCTACCGTCGGTCCACTGTCCACGCAAATGACCTCTGACCCCATTTCTTTCACGTCACAAACTTTGCCCAGTCAACCAGTAACCAATGCCAATTTTTTACGTCCCCAATAATTTCTCGCTGGGTATAACAATCCTAAATGAACGTCGATTGTCTCCATTTAACCGCACAACCGTCATCAATTCCTTCCCGATGTCCACCGTTTACAGTAACGATCGCAGTACGCTTATCCCATGAGATATATCCACAGCATCCACTTCCTCGTCCCGATCGGCAACCATCTACGCCCGAGTAACGTACGATAAGTTTAATCGACGTTAGGTAAGATCGTGTGCCCGGCCATCTGGATCGTTCGGCTGTACACGAGGAATACGTTAAAATACGTTAACACGGGTTCTCCCACGGGACTCTACGAGTCAAGATCATTAATCATGGTTCCCAGTACGTCACTCCGTCCATCGGTTACATCCGTAACGTGGGTGGTGATCCACGTGATTCGAACGGGCAGCGATCTCAGACAATAGGATCGTGGATCTGATCTTGGCTTTGTTTTGAGTCCTCATGCATCAGCCATACGATACGACACGATACTATACGATACCACCTTCACAATGCGATACGATACAAGCCGTACAAGTTCAACTCAGGCTGACTGGTTATGACCTATGCTTTTTTTGGGGTTCTAATACAGCACACTTAAAAAGAGTTCCGTAGCCGTGCGTTGGCACTGGGTCTGATTAGTGGTGAGAAGAAGATAATAAAAAATCACTGGGTACGTTGAATACTTAAAAGCCAAAAAAAAAATCTCGAGCCATCCTTAATATCTTCTATATGGTCTAACCAGGAGTTTCTATGTTACGTCATAAATCCTACATAACACTCCGCGTCTTAGCGACACGCATAAGCACTTGACGAGTTGTATTCCTTTTTTTTTTGTTATTCTCTTCCTTTTTCTTCTTGCTCCTTCTAGCTCGTACCGACAACCGGTCCGTCGTTAGGCAGCCTCCAGTTTACGAGCCGCAAACGTTCAATGGAAATTTTCTGATAAGCTGAAATCAAGGCAGCTTCCATAAGGACCGCTTTACGTGTCTTAAAGGTTATACCTTTGTTATCTCACTGAATATGGTTAATGAGTTGCGAAAAGAAAAAAAGAAAAATAATAATTTAATACAACAAGTGTAATACACAGTGCCGCCGGTTTCTACTTTTACATTGAGTCGTCAGGTGGCTCGCGGCATAGAGGTATAAATCACACGTCATTCCAGTCATATGTAAATGTCCGCTAAGTCTATGCTGACTCTACCAAAGTGTTCCACAAATCGTAACTTCATGCTCCGAGCCAGGAGCAGCGTTATCGTTGATTGATAATCCCTGCCGGTTATAAGGTTTAACCTTATCTCGTTTTGGATTTTTTTAAAAATCGTACCTAGATACAAGCACGCACGGTCGCCTCAATCAAGTCGTGCGATAGACGAAAGTTTCACCAGTAGAATATATCAATTAGCACGTGAAAATAATTTTGGGAAAAAAATAAAAAAATAAAATTCCGTAAAAGAAACATCTGTCCGTGATAAATCTCGGGTGCATTCATACGTCCTATTATCTTCCCATACGTACGGGTTAACTGTTGTCCATCCCTGTTCCTGCAACATTGTTCATGGCCAATGTAGAACACAGACCATTATCAACGTGACCAGAAGATATCTGATTATGTAAATGGCCACGAATTTGCATACAAATTGTAGCTAATATATTTACTCTTCATTACTACCCCACTGTGTGCATGCACTTGAAATCTCTTTCCATCCCGAATTTAAATCACTCATCTCACGCATGCGTGCATATACTATATATATATATATATATATACACATACGCGTGCCCTTGTATCCTACTCTTTTTTACCCCTTTACATACACACGGTGTACAATCTATTAAACAATAATTGAAGGGCAATCAATTCCTCTCTTTTTCATACGAGGTAAGCGTATATGGACGTATATACAGATATACGTGTATATATATATATATACCGAACCAGTTTTACTAAATGGATACAGCATCTGTTTCTTTGACATTCTCACTGTCTTCTTTCTTTCCTTAACTCCCTCTCTCGTATGCATTCTTCGCGAACCAGACTCCCATTAGCACTGTCATATTCCGTGGCAAGTGTATGCGCACTGCTGAGTGCGCAAGAAAGTGGAAGAAAATGGTACCGACAGTAGGTATAATTCTCGTTGAACTCTCCGCTCTGGAAGCCGTCGCCATTTTCACCAGCGACAGCATTAGTTTAGCTGTAAATAGTGAAACGTCCTCTTAACGCGACGCCCATCAAGGAACTTCTATTAAATCTATGAATTATACATGTGCAACCTTCAGATGATAAAATACAGGTAACCCTTATTGCCATCCTTATTGCCGCCTCGTGACGCCCTAACCTGTAAACGTTACTCGTAACCGCGATGCCATGCGTCCCTTACACTCCTGTCTCTGTCCACGTACCTGCAAGACTTTACTTATATTACAATTTAAACTGCAATATCGAACGCGTCTTAAATCCTATTGTCTTGATAAATCTTACATAGAGTATATAAATTGGTACACGTGTCTCCTAGCGGGGTTTACTTGCTTTTGCAATAGGCTGCGCTCGGTATTTATTAGTCCTTTATGCGATATCACAAACGGCTTACCCATGATGCAATTGGCGACACGTAATACAAATATTAATAGAATGCACGTATTTAGTATCGATTCGCAAAGATATTATGTTACGATTATGTTTATAGGACGGACAGAGTATCATTCCCTAATGATTTTCATTCCAGTCATTTATACACACGGGTTGGCATCTTTAATGATCATAGCTCAGTAAGTGAGACTGTCTTAGCTGTTAGGTACGAGCTAGAATTGCGAATTGATTCGTCGCTTAATTAACTTTATTATGCTTACTTTAACGAGTCTCGAAGAAATTCTACGTAAACTGGTATATGCTGGATTACTATTTGAAGGAGAATCAGGTGTTGGCTTATTCGAGGAATTGAACTGTTACCAGTCTCTGGATACGTACTTGCTGCACCAGTCGATTGAACAACACGATGTACGCTCGTCTTAATAATAACGATTATCACTGATGAGGTGATTTACTTTGACTCTGGTCTATAATTAACGCTGTTGCTTGCGACTATTAATTAGATATTGGTTTACCGTTTTATTGGTATTACAAAAAAAAAAATTGATTTTTCACTCTGATTATCATATCTACAGATTCAGTCGTGTGGTCTTGACGTTCGATTAATTAATTAAGGACCATCCTCGTGATGTCTACTTAATTACGACTTTAGGACCGAATCAAGATGGACGCCTAACACGATAACTTCTTGCTCCCGGATAGAATGACTATATATAGTATGTACTATGCTGCTAGGTATATCGATTCTGAGAGCGAAAGAATTTTTCAATGAGATACTTTACGTACACTGGGCTCTGAACGGAGGCACTTTATACTTGGTTGGTTCCCATGCTCGAAACGTGAATTGAACCTGGGAGTTCGATAAAGCCGATTTCATTGCGGTATATCCTTAATTAGTCGGCTTTGTAGCTGCCACGATCTCTTCTGAGCTTTCTGTGGTCAAGCGTGATCGCGCCTTGCAATAAGCCACGTGGTTTTCAACCAGTAAAAGTTTCATACGGAATATTCGTGCGTGTGGTTAAAAAACAATGATCTGTCAGATAGAGAAAATTTTGCATCGATCGATAAATTTCTCTTACAGGTATCATTACCTGTTGATCGTTTCCAAGATCGCTCCGAAGGATTCCTGTTACATGCCTAACCTTAAATTATGCCGATCCTCGATCGTTATTGAATCGATTATCTCAAACACTTGCACAGTATAGAGCCAGGATCAGTGAACGTTATAAAATACCTTAATCTTCTTCCAGGCGGTCATCAAAAGGTCTAAAGTGACTTGCAAGTGTCATGGCGTGTCCGGAAGCTGCAGTCTAATCACCTGCTGGCAGCAGCTCGCTTCCTTCCGGGAAATAGGTAAGTTTTTCATAAGTCCGACACTGGAAAAACCAAAGTGTAATTTAAATATGTCTCAATTTTATTTTTAGTAACAACAATCATGCTACAGTACCCTACCTCTTTTTTTTTTTTAATTAATTACCAGCGAATCATTGTCAAAGCCTTTTACACTTGCGCATACCTCAATTAGCTTGAAATACCATTAATGGGCTTTGTAAGCCATACCATACGTATACAGCCGTGAGCCGTGCACTGTGGTAACGCTGTGAAAAATCTTCTCCATTTCATAAACATCGCCGTGTTGATTAAGAATTCAAGTCGCACCCAAGAAGTGTTCGTCGTAATCTAAACAAGTCTTTTAATTACCTATCGTGAACCAAACGATGACTCCAACCATTGGTGACCGTAGGGTTGAGACGAACGTATACGAGTCCACGATGCTTCACGTGGTTATCGTATTATGGTTTTATGGGACATTCGAGCGATACTAAAGAATAACTTCGGAAGGTACGTAAGGAGACGTCTTTCCTCTTACACGCCATACCCCCTTACACGTGTATACGTTTCTCAGTCTGGATAACCCGCCGTGTCTTTTTGTGTTAATTAGAGGTCCAAGTCAATTGTGCAACGGGGATAGTTACCTTAAGCTCGAGCATAAATATATGTTTGATGCCGGGGTTCATTGACTCCTGGGTTTACGAGATAACCGACTGGCAGACCATCTTTCCGATTATATTTTATCATCGAGGTTCGGTCATACCTGATACATCCAATAGCTGAATCGACTTGTCTTCAATTTAGTTACGCTTGCAGGCCTTATGGAAAATCACGTAGTGTCCGGGTTACTTATGTTTACGAGGGTGAGAATGAACTGGGAAAGAAAAATAGTAATTTAGCATAGAAGCCGAGTAGATTAATTTTTCTTTTTTTCTTATCCATACAATTTTTCAATCTAGTACGTATACGTATAGTCCGTTTCTTATTTACCTATTTCCTTTCGACCCTTTAACCAACTTATTTCAGCTATTTGATTTCTGCAATATTTCGCAATTTCGACTGGCACCCACTGTATGAGAATAACTGTACTATTATCATTATGTGCATATGCTAATTTTGAGTATGCAACGATCAAGAGTTTTGTATATATGTCAGACGCGCTGCACAGCTGGGACTGTACATTCTCGTTGCGTATATGGAATGCCGATACATTGATATACGCAATTTCTCATCCATAGGTATGTACAGTGCTGAGCAGGCTGAGGTAGGCTTCTTGTATTTTCTGTCATTAAATAATGGGCAGGGCCTTTTTTCTCTTCTTCCTCTTCTCATTGTCGCAGGTATCCTTTAGACTTGGAAAATTCGCACGGTCAGTACAGCTTCCGTTAGCCCCGTGCACTTCTGACAGATCCAACGGCAGGACTCCCAATGATTTGCCACGCCTACGTCGACTGGTGTAGAACGTAATGATGTCTGTTGTAAGGAAGCATTGCCTTTCGAAAGGTGCGCTGCGGCGTCCCGATAATTATTATAAATGTACCTGGCTCCTTACCTCCACGAAAACGCTTGAACGGTTAAACGCTACAGGGCATTTCAAGAATCATCGTATGTACAAGCAAGCAGAGTCATTATCCTTGCGGTGTAACGTTTCTTGAAGAGATTGTCTTTACCCGTGGCTTTTAAGTAGCAGCTTCATTCCGTTACTTTATGCACTTGAAACTTTTGGGATCCGTACGACGACTTTTGAAACGTCTGGGTACATCGAAGAGTGCGCGTCCTGGTAGCCAAGGTAGAACAAGATGCAATTACGTTATGACGGGGTGGGACAATGGTATCGCCGCAAGTCGTGCCACGCAATCCTTAATCGGAGGCTGCGCTTTGTTCCAAGATAAAATCTTGTTTGCAGGCAGGATCGACCCTTAGAGAAAGAAAGTCCATGGAACTAGTCAGGAGAAGATTTGGTTTCGTTAAGGACAACCCAAGTCATTAGAGTTACCGTGTGCGTCTACGGTTCCGTCTTGGTAGAAAATAATTTTCACTGGAAATTTCTCATTATCCTGGATCATCGTTAATCATCCTTAGATAATTATTATTGATGAGCAGAGGTACTGTTTTTTTTTAAACTGTCTTTTTCCACCATCTAAAACTGTATCTTGGCGAAACAGCTTCCACTGGGTGACGCCTAGCGTCGGGCTGACATAATGGTGTACCTGCACCGGTAGTTGTCATGAGATAGTCACTCGAGAGAGCATACCCTCCAGGTTGTATAGTTTCTCTCATCCCGTATTGTTTTCCACTCACAATCTTATCCAATGATCAGACGCTAATTTTCCCCGTTTCCTTAATCTCGTGCTTATCGGCTGGTCCAATCTACCGAATCTCGGAAAAGCCATGAATACTTAAGGATACACGAGCAACTCTTTAGCCGCTATCTTGAAGTTTCCTAGAAGAAATTGTTAAGTATAACTCTCTTTCTGGACCGCGTGTGAGGTCCGCAGTAGACACGGTTTATGTTAATGCTTAACTAAATATCCCGGTTACGATGCTGTACAAGACCTGGTACGGAACGTGGAGATGAGTCGGAGAGTCAACGTGAATTTCTTTGAACGGTCCCAAGATCTGGGATCGTTCGATACCTCGTATATTGAGGGAGCACCTCGTTTCTTCTGGTCATTTTTATAAACCTTAAGTGAACTCCAGGCTTCAGGAGTCACTGGTGTATTTATTTACTTCGGCTACCCAAGAGGGTGAAACTAGGTATTAGCAGATACCCGTTCACGATATCTCAACCGTGCTTCTTCTTCTTCTTCTTTTTTTTTTGTTTTTTCTTACTTTTCAAGAGGATTCAAGAAAATAAAATTCGATACACTCTGCCAGGCATGATACGAATTTAAATAACAAGTCGGCAGACACGGTAAAGGCGTAGCATTGTCTCTCATTATGCTCTTCGAGTTGTTCCTCGTGTCCACCTTACCATTGCTATAAGGAATCAGCGATGGCTTGTATAACGTAGGCAGGAACCGCTCGTACGAGGATGCCTTTTTTTTCTTGAGGAAACATCGGGTGACACAGTTTCCTACCAAGAGACGCCGGGAGATCAATGACGATCACAGGGTCTTCCTGGAAGAAGAAAAAACGATTTTAAATTCTCTTTTCAAATATATGGATACATGTTGATAAAAAATAAATAAATAATATAAAAATTCTACCAATACAATATCCTCGTATTCTCCTTAACCTCCTTTCATTCTATTCATCCAATTATTCATGGTGTCATTGCAAGCTGCTGATTCACCATTCGAGTCTCTAGTTTGTCTCGCATATTGGTCTCGGTCACGCCTGATGAATCTTCAAAAGAGTTCACAGAGTCATTCGTATCGAACGGACATCGAAAGTGATTTTTTTCCAGGTAAAGCCAAGCGAGCTCAATCCCATCGACACGCGCATGCATCACGTCTTTGGCTAACGCAACGTCCGTGCGTGAATCTCGGATTAACAGCCAGTCGAAACAGCCAGAAAAGTTAATTGTAGTTTCAGACACAAATCTCAGCCCAGGACAAATTTGCCACTATGGGGTTATTAGCATAATTACCTGGAACCAAGAAGAAAGCATGACTCTGATAAATAATTGCGTATTGCCAAAATTGCGCGTGACAATTACATTAGCATAATTCGTTTCGTCGCCAACCTTAACGTTCGCCGTTCCACGCGTCTTCTCCGCCATAACCTCATACGCAGATAGCATTGTGTAGTCGCTCACTGTACTTATATTATGCATTCATGGCTTATTCGCTCGGAAACACTCACTATATATATTATATGTATATATATGTATACGTATACATCACAGTTTTCTTCTTGCGCCGTTCGCATCTCACGACACAATGCCCAGGTGTAATTTGACAGATAGCTACTCCGACCACGGAGTCACCGTATTATCTCATGACTCATCTCCCGTCTACGGATAAACCGTTTCTAAGCCGCGGATATTTGTCACCCTGGAAGGGAACCGACACGAATTCTTTTAGACGCCTTAACTTCCTCGGAACAAACCTGCATCTGCGTCTAACCTCAAAATTCTTCATCGTCGCCGCGCCGCACTGCGATTGTACTTGACGATTGTGATCCGAGACTCTGTGATTTCTCTTTGATTCTTTTATATTCCTTTTATTACAGGCGATTACCTTTTGGATAAATATGACGGTGCTACGGAAGTCAGAGTCAACAGACGTGGACGACTGTCAATACGAGATCCTAGATACACTCTGCCCACTGCCAATGACTTGGTGTACTTGGACGACTCGCCGAATTATTGCCTGAGGAATCTTACCATTGGATCGTTGGGTGAGCTTGTTTCGTTTGTTGAGGATTGGACTTAAATTTTTATTTTTGTGTAATATTTGCATTTAAACTCTTGGGATGTTTCTTTTTTTTGCTTTTAGGTACTCAAGGCAGAGTTTGCAATAGGACGTCGGCTGGCATGGATGGCTGTAATTTACTTTGCTGCGGTCGGGGTTACAATACGCAAAAGACGACGATCAGGGAACGTTGTGAATGCAAATTCCACTGGTGTTGCTTCGTCGAGTGTAAGACGTGTGTCAGAAACGTTGACATACATACGTGTAAATAGGAGCTTACGGCATAGAGGGAAAATTAATGGGAGCTTTGAGAGGAACAAGAAACCAGAATACGAGAGAACGCATCGTTATAATTTATTATTCATTTTTACAAGAATTGTCTTAGTATGATAAATTCACAAAATTCAATCAAGCTCACCAATCAAGGAGGAAATAAAATTTTTTGATTTGACCATTTTAAGGATTTCGCGATAACCGATAATCGTTCGTGCAGACTTTTGTTTAATCGACTGATGATTATCGTCTTACTAGTTTCTGCTTTCTCCACTATGTACAATGTTATCCTATGTCGATAAGTACCTAGGGACATTTTATTATGTATCAGAAGATCACGTTGAATTCCCTAGGATACAAATTCAATACCGCCGTGGTACTCGCAATGATTTCCACAAGATAAATATTACGTAGAGATAAACAAGTACCATTATCGATGAATGATTACAAAGTATTTATCCGTATTTCGCTAAGTATTTCAAAAAACTCGACTGTAGTCCGTACGTTAGATTTTTCACAGTACCGCGTGTCTGTGTAATGTCACGCAAAGTAAAAATCACTAGGAATTTAATGATTAGCAAAACCGATCAATAGTTAAATCTTTTTTTTCACAAACGTTGCACTGGCATTGTAGCTATCGTAGAGTAAATCAACCGTTATTATTTAGTGAGCAATTAAAAAGATTAATGTACGGTCGATCGAGTGGACGATGCTTATCGATATAACTTAAGTAGAATTATTTAAATCGACATCGAAAGAAGTATTTATTGTTAGCGAATAGTTTTCGAATGTTTGTAACCTAAGGGTGTGTATTTGTCGATTGAGATTTTGCAATAACAATACAGAGACAAGTATCAGAGGAAGTACGAATGTTGGACTAGGAGCCATGTTCGAACCGTAGTATCTCCTTAATTAAGAACCTTAGATCATGTACTATTTTTTATCTTTGATAATTAAGAACAATTAAGTTTTCTAGTTTATAAGTGTACATTTGTCCTTCGCCTAGATTAAGTTTTTTAAAAAAAGCGTTGAAACTCATGACGTCGCGTATTGTAAAATAATATTTATCCAATCAACACAATTATTCTTGTTTTTTTCTTCTAATTTTAATTATTAATGATCGTCATGCGCAGTATCTTAATTGAGTTTTGGATGAATTTTTTTTTTTTGGTTTATGTTCTTAAATAGTTTCAGTGCAAATGCGATTTATATTGCGGGATGAATTTTTTATTTTATTATACTCTTCCTGAGAAAAATGTCTTATTTCGCGACGAAAAGGTACAGTCCTCCAAAAGTATTGTTAATTAAGTAGACGAAAATAATTCTAATCAATTTATGCTAGAACGTAAACAAGTGTACGTTGCTTTAACGTTGTGCAGCTTTTATAGTTTTAACAAGACATTCCTACAATGTGACTCTGGCATAAATACTTACGTTTAGTCGTATTATGAATTTTTCAAAACCAATTTAAGCGATTGTATTTTGAATAAAGATATACATTAGATTATTGTATTGAAGTCGGTTGTCGATGAATATTTGCATTGTCTATTGTTTTATTTGCCGACTAAATTACATTGAACCATTCAAGGTTGACTAAACATTCTTCCAAACGTTACATCGACAGCGAGGTGATGCTACTAATCATATTTTAACCATGATGTATGTGTCTGAAATAATATAACATCATTTGTCGTACTGTCAAACTTATTTATTAAAATTTTGTACAACTTGTGTAACTTTATGTAACGATGACATTGCGAGCAGTATAACTTTCATTGCGTATTACGAATTAAAAGAAAGAAAAAAGAACTTACTCATCGCATTTTTGTTATTTCAGTTATGTAGCACTCCCGAAAATCTTCAGTCCTTCCCTCGGTAACCGTATTAAACCTACTCAAATTGGCCAGTTCAATTTTTACGAAAACTGAAGTCTAAGTATGCTACGGAACTATGATGTTTTTCGCGTAAATAATATAAGTAAAACTAGTTTCTTGGATCAATGTAATATTTCAATAACAAGTGTCCGCTCAAGTAAACAAAGACGAAATGAGGTGGCGGCCAATTGTTCTCCTTTTCTAATGTTCCCATTGCCTATGTTTTCTATACTCTCATACTACGGCTGTTGGTTAGAAGAAGATAAGGCTTGGCCGCCACCAGTCGCTATCTTTTTCTTTCAGCCGACCATTTTTTCTGTCTATGCGTAGTCCATACTATATGTTGATGGACCAGTCTATTTGTGCTCATAAGGGGAGGAAACAGTATGGGAAATGAAGTTTCGAATGCGACTTCGTAGTGATGAAACCTCATACCATGCTCAAGTTCTACAGACCAATGGGCAGCAAATTTTGAGAAAAAAAGCCCTAAAGTTTGTATGGGAACTTACATATCTAAAGGTGTAACCTAGCTACAAGTGGTTTGGCGGGCGAAGCGGTAGCGTGTCAACTTGATAAGCCAAGGGTTCCGTGCTCGAATTTCTCTGCTCGTGAATTTTTATTTCACGAATTTTGTTGCATTTTATTTCTGAATTTGTTTAATATTATAATATCAATCATGCTTCTTGTAAATAATAAAAATCAGATTGTGCGAATATGTAAATACAAATACAATTCCTATTCCTAGTTTTCTTGACTGTATTATTCCTCTATACACAATATTTTATATATTATACTCCATATAAATATTTTACAGCGGTAGTTATTGCGAACAAGTTTTCAAAATTTTATTACTTTCGTCATAATTTAATAGCAAAAATAATAAAATTGTAATGACAATACATATTTGCGTGATTATTATTACAATATTAAACAAATTTAGAAATAATATGCAAAAAAATTCATGAAAAAAAGAAGTTTACAAGCAGAGACTCGAACACGAAAACTTAAAAAGTCACAAGCCTGCATGTTCAATTTTTTTTACATCCAATTTCTTTTAATTGTTATGAGTAGTTATTGAACTTTATAAATAAAGTTTACAAAAATGATCAAAAAATAAGTAATTTAAATAATTTTTGCAATGTAAAATTCCTTTCACTCTAGAAATGGACTTTGTTGTTGAAAACGATGTGCTATTGAAAACTAATATCAGAAGACCTTAAACAATTAATGATTATTAGTAAAACTAGGAGTTTTTAAAAAAAGTTGCTAAATGTGAAAAAAATAGAATTTCACATTTCAATTTTTTACTCATCTCTGGTTGTACAGAACTGATTTTGTTTCTTCGTTCCTCAGTTTTTCCAACGAATCGTAATTCGCGCGTCTTGGAACACGAGCACTGTTGGTGACGTAAATCAACATTACTGATTACGTCTCATTAATGGAGCCAGTTTAATTCATAAAGGTTCATGGTTTTATCAGTCGTTTGTCTCTGCATAATTTTACTTTATTCACGAGATCCTTGCCGCGATCTAGCGCAATCAAAGGCAATCAGGTAATTTTATTGGGATCGTGATCGTTCTATCTTCTCTGGATATTTTGTTTCAGCTTTTATGTGAAAAGGTTTTCCAATGAGTAGTCGTCAATCTGTTGGTTCATGAACTGACAATAAAAATCAGCTGTACTTGGTAAAATACGTCTTATCTGAAAAGCATACGACGCCCAAATTGCAGCGGCTAAGCCGTGTAATGAGTGGCTTATGCGAGGAATCGAGCCTTGGGAGCGGCTCTTTCATAGAAACAATCAATAAGTTTACTTGTGAGTTGTTCACGCTCGTTTTCACGACTCTCGGTATAACCTCAAACGTCTCCATACCTGTCACTCACGGAGTGGAACCCCTGCAGAGTTTTACTGATCTTTATCAGGACTTTCTTAATTGGCTCTCGTTCGACGATTTTCAGCTTCAGCTTCTGAAAGTTTTCTTATTCGTGCTGGTTAGTAACGTCGCTCTTATTTATATTGCCTGGCATATTTACGGAGCAAGGATATCTGAACGGTTTATGAAACCTGGTAAGTTTATTTCCTCTCTTTGGTTTTTATAACCAATCTTTTATTCCGACACTTCTATGTCATCTATTGCAGGTGATTTTTTTTTTTAAAGCGTGACTTTTATTTTGGAGTTTCTTCATGCTTTGTATTTTAGCTAATTCTGCTGCCATTGAAGAACTGAGAAGAAGTGTTTCCCAGCTCAAGTTACCCACTGAACATTCACCACGACTTTAAGTGAATTTTATATTTGATTTTTGGAAACTTAGAGATACAGGGACAATGGCTGAGAAAATAAAAAACTTCTTTCTCAAGAAGAAACATGATGTTAAGTTTAAAAAGGCTGGGAAAGGCTATAGGTGATTATTGTAGAATTTCATATGAATATTTGGAACATAGTGCTTTATTATCTATGTTGACCCACATGCATTACCTGATATTAGCCTCTTCGTTTGACTTCTATGGTAGAATCAATTTTACTTAATCAATTTCTACTAATTAATTTTATACAATATTGTGCTATGGATAGATTGAATGAGACCTCCAGTAATACAGCGTCAAGTTCATCCTCACAAAATGTAAAGCCTATTAAGAGGGCAGAACCTACGCAAGAAGCTAAAGTAGCAGGACAGGCTGCACTGGCAAGGCTGGAATCAAAAAGACCTGATCCTACAAAATTTAACACGTACGAATATTGTAGTATATTGTGTTAATTTGTTATTCTTTTGTATCTAATTTAATTACAACTTAACTGGTTTATCAAGTAGGTTTATTATTGGCACATGGAATAACAGTACTTATCAAGACATATATTTTGAAAACAATACACTTAATCATGTATATCGTGTTACAGATCATATGCAGCTATACAAGCTCGAGTAAAACGTGAATTGGAAGCAGAAAGAAAAGCATTAAGTGAAACTAACGCTATTGATAAAATTATCGAACGGAAGGACGAGAAAGTTCAGGATGTAATTGAAGATAATCCATTCCTAGCAGTTAAGGGTGTTTACTTCCGCTGTCCTATGATATCAGATGAAATTTTGCCAAGGGACGAGTGGAAGAAAAAAATACGAGAATTTCTATATGACCAGTTACAAGATCAGGAGGCTGGTCTAACAGCATGTTTAATCATTCACAGCTGTAACTCAGGCAAAGAGAAGATTGAAAACTGTATAGAAACACTAGGAAAATATTTGGAAAACATCATCACCAATCCAGGTGAAACAAAGTATTGGAAGATACGAATGTGCAACAGAGTTTTTAAGGTAACTGCTGCACTGTACTATTCTTTTGAAAACAAATTTTAAAGCCACCGATCGATACTTCTAGTATATTATTGCCAAAATAAATATGTTTTTCGATAAATTTAAATGTTCACTTTGACAGGAAAAAGTGAAGCCATTAGAAGGTGCCTTGGATCTTCTTCGAGCAGCTGGTTTTGAAGAGAAAAGAATACTTCACCAAGGAGAGGAAGAGGATTTCCTAGTTTGGAATCCTGAAAAATCCACAATAGACAACGTAACGATGCTAATAGATGCATTGAACACAGCTGAACCCATTCAACTCGAATTGGATAGAAATGTGCAGGTTCTACTGCCAAGCGAAGCTACAAAGCGTAATGAATTACCTCCAGTATTCTTCACTATAACACCTGAAGAAATTAAAAGGGAACAACAACTCAGGTAATTTCTCAATCAACAAGTAACTTGTACATTAAATTCAGTGTTTATATGACTGTTATGTACTGTAGAGCTGAAGCTGTCGCGCAAAGTCAAATTCTTCGTACGAAAGCAATGCGCGAGAAAGAAGAACTTCGTGAAATGAAGAAGTATCGCTTCGCACTTATACGTATAAGATTCCCGGACAATATAATACTTCAAGGCACCTTCGCAGTCTTTGAAAAATTCGAAAATGTCATGGAATTCATAAAGGAAAATTTAATAAGCGATGAGATTCCATTCTCATTGATATTGCCGTCAGGTCAGAAAGTTAGTAATGAAGACATTGAGAAAACACTGATAGACTTAAGGCTCGTACCAGCCTCTGTTTTAAAATTCTCCTGGAATATTGAAGGATTTGAGGCAGCAGAGGTGGTAGGATACTTGAAGGAAGAGGTTCTGTCATTGATTCAGTCTTTATAGAATTGATATATTTAATACTACTTAGATAGCAATCAATTCATAATTGGAGGATACGATCAATGTCTACGAAACTTTTTGCCTTAGAATTTATTGAATAAAAAAAATTTATTTATCTAGGCTGTTCCTATTTTTCTACTTGCAGGTACGAAGCTTTTGGCACATAGTATCTTTAAAACAAACAATACAGTTACAAAATGTGATTTCATCATTGACACAGCGAGATATTTCTTTTGAATATTAATTCTTGAATTTATTTTTTAACTATTTCTCCTTGAAATTTAATTATTCAGTACAAGCAATTTAGCCGGAATTATGTAAATTGTTCGTTCTCCTCTATCTACAGCGAATTAATTTTGTATCTCTTATATTTCACATCAAAATTTTGTTAAATCATTTTCAATTATATAAAAATAACTTTTTTCGTACATAATTCTAATGCATCAGTATTTCGTAGATAGTGCAAACGTTACTTTAAAAAAAAATCTTTCCAACGTAGGCCGAATATAAAAGAAATTTTTTTAGCCGTCTGACCGATTAGATTCACAATGTTTATGTATTGCTATTTTGTAATCTGCTGATTTTTTCGTTGTCTATTATATAAATGTTAATATATACAAATAAATTATATCTTGCGTTGTTGAATGTGCATGTTCCCTATAAAAATCCTGTTAAAAAAGGTCCCTTTAGTGGAACCTAACACATGCCGCAAATATACATTATTCCAAGATGAATAGGATATAATTATCCGATTAATATTTATATATAAATCCGTCGTTTATTATAAACATTTCGTACATTAGAATACAATTACGTATTCCGATGATTTTCGGGAATTACATTGAAAATATTGACTTCGAATACGAATATCAATGATCGTCAATATAATTATTTGCGATCGACTACTGGTTCGATTGTTTCCCCTCCGCGGATTTGTCCCCAACCAATAAGTCGCCAATGTTTCTCAACACGACGAGACAGCGCGATTTTCTCATCGATTTCTGTACACACCGGATTCGTCAAACTAATCTTCGCAAGATCAGCCCTGGTAGCTAAGACGCGGCCTCCTGTACTCAAGGAACCAATGTTCACTAAGAGCACCTCATTTTTCGAGAGTTTTGGAACCTGGTGAAGTATATTAGAGTTTTTAATTATTATAACAGTAGAGGAATTTTCCAATATCTCTACTAATTTGTCTCAATAAATCAATTCTATCTTTAAATAAATCTCTCACCTTGGCTCCCTTCTTGTCTCCTTCTGTTCGCACTCCTAATAAGCGCTTAAGAAGATAATACGATATCTCAAGTTCAATAAAAATCTTAGGCAATGCACCTACAGCTCCTAGAATCTGACCAACCAAACGATCCGCTCGACACAAAGTAGGCTCGATCTTCGTTCCCACGCCTGAAACAACAATGTCAAATTAGAAAAAAATATAATGATTCTGATTTCTGAAGATACATATGTACATATCTAATAGAGGAATGTACCTATGAGTCCACCAGGCACTGCAAACTGCAATTCGTTTTGTTCAGCAAAAAGAGATACAATACGTGAAAAGATTGGTCGACACGTTAATTTTCCTTCACCGTCCTTGGAGACTAAACCAGGCCGGACCTCAATCTCCATGCCAACCTAATAAAGTAATAATATTAAAGTAACTGTCTTCATTTGCAGGACTTTATCGTATTATCTGTGTACCTTTAAAACTCCCTTAAGAATACTTCCACCGGCAACACCACCCTTGAGGTCATCGACCTCGCAGCCAGGTTTATTAACATCGAATGAACGAATGACAATTAATCTTGGCTCCGAAGTAAAGTCTCGAAGAGGGACAGGAATCTTCTTTGTTATGTACTCGCACAGTACTTCAATATTATATTTAAGCTGCGCCGAAATTGGAATAACCGGAGCACCCTCAGCCACAGTACCTGAATTATATTAATAAATAGCATACAAAACATTATTTTATATCAAATAGCTTAAGACGATTACCTTGAACGAATTTTAAAATTTGCTCGTACTGCTCCTTGGCTTGTCCTTCCTTTACTAAATCAATTTTATTTTGCAAAATAACAATATGCTTCAACTTCATGATCTCAATAGCAGCCAAATGCTCAGATGTCTGTGGCTGTGGGCAGGACTCGTTACCAGCTAAAATAATCATCTTGCATAATTTTTGTAATAGACCTAATCAGTATTGCACTATGTAACCGAAGCCACCTTTTCACATATAAAACGTCTAGCAAAATTCATTTACCAATAAGAAGTAATGCAGCATCCATAACTGCTGCTCCGTTAAGCATAGTAGCCATAAGAATGTCGTGACCTGGACAGTCTACGAAGGAGACATGACGAACCAGCTGAAATCTACCAGAGCAGGCAGGACGTAGACATGGAAAAGAATCATCCTTGCTAGATCCTCCAGAGATGTAGCACGCAGGTCTTGGACACTTTTCATTGTCACACTTGTAAATCTTGGCATTTGCATATCCTACACAATTAACAAAACTCAATAAATGTTAACCTAACACAAAATTGATATCAGTGTTAAGCCATCAAATGATTATTCATAATCAAATAAAATTCAATATTATTCAGCAGTACTATGTATTCCTTTATTTGTCGAAGTTGCCTCGCCGTTTCTTTGCTCCTCTTAAGCGAAACTAAAGTTTATGTGAAGATTGAATACAGCATATGATCAATAACAGAACACATACGTTCATACGATATTTTCGGTGGATCATTCACTCATTGAGAGCTCTGACTATAGCGCATTTATTAATCATTGAAATATAATAATTCTCTACGTATTCAGAGATGTGAGATTCGCCATGCGCATAACAACAATAATAATAATATAATAATAATAGTAGTAACAAAAATTCCGCTTAACATTCATGCCGTTTATATATTACAAATTTAAACAAACGAGCTAGTGTTATCTAATCCATATTTTTATTTATATTTCTTTTAGGCACTGAATTCCTTATGAGCGAACAATGTCACAAGTGAGTTGCTCTTCATTATATAACATAGAAAAATCATTATGGAATCATGTAATATTTTATTTACCATCCATCAGGTAAGTGCCATATTCGTTTTTATTTACTCTAACTACCATTTCAACCGAACCGAAAAGAGTCGAGACTTACGGTTTATTTGTTAATGATTTAATGATTAACATGTTTAATTTATGAATAACGCGTGAATAGCAGGACGAAATTTTTACACGGAAATCATTATTTTTATACTCGTCGAGCTTATTACATGAAATTCGAGAGTGATCTTTTATATTGTTACTGTTGTGCAGATACGTACAATACAGTAATTAACTCCAAGTCATTAGCGTGCTGGTGTAATCGCACGTCGATGACAGTAACAATAATAAATAAACGTATACGAAACGTTTTAGTTCTCTAAAAATGCAATATAAAACGTCTATGAGCCATAAAGAAATAAGAGAAAGAAAAAAGGAAACTTAATACTTAGATGCAATTAAAACAATTAATGTCAAAATGTTGATGAGTTATACACGTTTCGTATAGTCAGGTGTGCAGTGAAATAACGTAATGTCAAATGGGCACTTGCTATACATATATGTCATAAAGTTATTGACATAATTCTCAAAGGGACGCAGAGTGTATTGACAAGAACGGGCAGTATGCTTAAATAACTTAATAGAGAAATCTAAGATAGAATAACTTGAAACGCATTAGCATTCTACATCAACATTATATCTCTTTGGGAAATGAGCTGAGGAAATTTGCATCTGACCTATTCAAGTAGAAAATTAACAATGTTCCATGACTATAATTCTAGTTATTTCGCTATCCATAAAATTCAACAAAGAAGTTACCAAAATACTATATCTCGTTGCAAATGAAAACCTTAGTCAGACACTGACTTTAATCTTAGGCAGTAAGTTTATTATCGATTAACAGAAGTGACATATAGACTCAAAAAGTACTACCGATTAATCAAGTCATTGATAATTGCTCTTGAATGTTCAAAACAAATACTGTCTACACGCCTTAGTACCACATTTACATCTAGTCTTATAATCTAAGGACCTTCCACCGGGTAATTCTAATCGCTGTTGCGATTCCGAAGGCAAATCATTGTTATCAGGCGCTTTAGAGAACTGGCATGCATAATCAAATGTTATCTCTTCGTTTTGCTTAATGTCCCTCGTAGCAAACAAAGCGAGCTTCGGGAGATCCGGCTCGAGGCAATCAATCCATACAGCATAAACGGCTAAATTAGGATCACAGGAGTGATTTATAAAATGAGAGACGTTTCCATATATGGCAGCATCCACAGTGTACAAGCATTGATCCTCGCTCTGGTTATAATCTAAATCGAATAAGTATGTTCTGCCAGCAGCATCGTATTCCGTGCCACGTTTCTCAGCTTCCTCGCTTGTTATGACCTCACCAACGTATTGCGTAACGAAGGTACCTTTCTTAATGACTCTCAGTGTCTTAACGCCCCAGCCGCGACCATTAGAAGTGCGAAAAACGCAAAGCTTAGCAAATGTGCCACGCTGCACCACGCGATTTAGGCAATCTGGTGGGCAGGTGCAGCGTTTGTTGCACTCGTAAATAGGCGTACCCGGTGGTACGCGAATTCTCCTCGCAGATGTGTATGAAAACGATCGACTACCCTGGAGGAAACAGCACTCGCCCTTAGAGTCGCACGTTGTACATTCACAGCCAATCGGTGGCTCGTCCGGTATAATCACTCCTGCACCTGGCAGATACTCGTCTACGTAATAGAAGTCGCATGGCGCGAATTCTAAGTCGACTAAATTTTCTACTTTGATAAGCGGTTTTCCTTTTGATATGCCGTTCATTTCCTCCTCCCACTCGCGTAACGACGCCAACTGCTCGTTTCGCAAAGTAGAGAGCAGCACACGCAATATATTGTGTTTGATTCGACTCTCGAGTTTTCGCATTTTTGACCGTTTCTGGGCGAAGTACTTTCTCAAGTCTTTGTACAGTGTGTACTCGTAACTGAATAGGCAGTCGTCGTTTTCATTGTCATTCATCAGGCTCTTCATTAACTCCTCGATAGTTTCGGTATTGGGCTCGAAGCCAGTGACTTTCTTAAATTTATTTAATAGTCTCGTTCTCTCGTTCTCAAATTCCATTAATAGTTCCGCGCAATCAACTAGGTTCGTTTCAGGTTCCCATGTATTACTAAGGGAGCTCCAGCCTTTCCACTTTATTAAATACAATACATTCTCCTTTGTTATCTTTTTCTCCAATATTTTCTCCACTTCGTACTCCTTTTTCTTGATGAGCTTCCTCTTACCGCCAAGATTTTTAAACGTTTTACCTATGTCCTCGACTTGGATTCTCAATTCCTTTAACTTTATACCGTGCTGAAGATATTTTAACGCGTCGCACGAGTAGGAGTCACTATCACTAGACTTTTGCGAGCTTCTCTGACCTCTTGTACATTTATCATCCTCTGCATTCAGATTTTCTTCCGTCATCCGCTCTATTGATTCAACTAACATTTCACGTGCCGTTGAATTGTCTCTATCTTTGGGAATATTGGAAGAATCGTCTATACTTTCTAAGTATGTCTCGTCCATCTCGATAGAGGGCAATCGCACTTCAAGCCTTGGCAGCTTGGCTGGTGGCTGGATGATAGTTGTAGGCGAAGTGGGCCGCTTTAGACACACAGAGGACTTTGTGTATGTAGCGCCGGAAACTTCTGCCTTGTTTCCGCTGTTACTTTCCGTCGCACGACTCTCTGTAATTCCAAACAGTTAAACGGCGTCATTCTCTCGGCTCACATTTATTTCATTCATTTTTATAATATATAGACCTCTCCACGCATTTCGAAGTTTTAAGTAATTTTATGTCTTTTGCTTTCTTTAAGGTAAACTTAGTAGCGTGTCGTGTTGTGCGCGTCTCTTAATCCTCTTCATTCTTCCAGGTTCTTTCTTTTCTCTCACTCTTAGAACACCTAACGCTCTTGGCAGTGCAGGAACATTTTTATGATCGCAATTTTTCTAACGGCACCGATGAAAAACACTCGTAATTGTACCCTAATTCACGAAGGCATGACTTGCTAGTTCGTTCGCAGTACTTACACCAAATGTGGGTTTCCACTAGTGAAATACTACGGTCTGAAGTAGATCACACTGATAACTTATTCAAAGGAGATACCACATTGTGCCAACAAATCTGTACACGTAATATTTGCAGAAAAAAGTAATGCTGCTTTTATACGTGTGAACTGGTCGACAATGGGGAATTGGTAAACTGCATAAATAAATGTAACTACTGCTCTGTAATTTTGTTGTATCTAGTATTATTTATATATGGGAGTTTAAAAAAGTAAGTGCATAAATTTGTAATTTCTGATAATTTTACATGCTACTTTGACTGATTGAATTAGATTGTTTCAATAATAAAAAATGTAGGACCACCTATAGGTGAGGTACAAACTTTCACTATGCCAAACGATGAGTGGTTTATTACAGTCAGTATCTAGAATTGTTTAAAAACTAACACTGCAAAACTGTTTGAATCGAGATACTTTTGGAATAGATTGGAAGAATCAAAAATTAGTATTGAATGAAGTTAATTACATTATTGGAGCATCAATACATCTGCATTTACATTAAAAAAAAAATCAGGTTCAATGATAGTCAGCCCTCAAACAGGATATCTATGATAATATTTTATCAAAATAAATATAATGTTCATGTGAGTTTCCATCTTAGTAATTGGCTCTGATGCATGAGTTTTTTAAAAAGCATATACTTAAACTATTAGATATAAATCAGTGCTTCATAAAACATCATACAAAAAACACAATAAAAGCAAAGTAATTCACTACATTCCATATAGCTCCACACTTGAGCAATTGGTTAACATTCTTAAGGTACCATATTATGTGAATTTTAATATGAACCATTAAATGATTAGAATTAGAATAAAGAATTAAGGTTTAGAAAAAAGGGACTACTTACCAAGCTTAATAGTTATGTTTCTTTCAAGTTCATTTTTGAAACGAACAGTCTGCACACCAGAAATAGCTTTGACAATTGTAGATTTTCCATGTGCCACATGGCCAATAGTACCTATGCAAATTTGAGAATTGAATTTTATAATTAAGAATTATTTAAACACTATAAAAATGATATAAAAACAAAAATACTTTTACACACAATTAGCAACAACTCAAAAATAATAAACTAAATATGGGTAAAAGTGTAGAACACAACTTGAAAGGCTTTACAAAAGAAAAAAAAACTAAACAATCCACAGTTAACTTCAAGGAGTTGTATTACCTAGCTTATATTTAAATATGCTTTAATGTATAAAGAACATCATTGGTACTCAAAATTTAAAGTCTATAACAACACTGTACCTATCTTAATGATTTCTATACAATATGCATTATACAAAAAATGCAATGATTAACCAAATCTTTTGAGAGGATGATGCAATTTCAATTTGTGAACACTTATGCTCTTTTTCAGCAATGCACTCCATGTATAAGTTGCATATAAGTTAAACCAAGAAAAAATCACCACAAAATCACTTTCTTCAAATTATTATCCATAAAACTAAAAAAATGTCAAATTTTTGTTGAAGTGATAAATAAATATGTTTAATTCCGATAATTACCAATATTGATGGTAGCTTGTCTACTGATGACCTCACGCGACAGTGCAGTTAGCTTGCTCACATCCTATGAAATGATAGGAAAGAACAATATAAATTAGGGAAATACGGATGACAGTTTTCTATAAAAATTCTAACGAAATTATTTGCATACGAATATTTACAGATAAGAGAGATATGTACTTCACGAGCACGATTCACCGTGTTCTTGTACGCAAAGTCGAAATTTTGTTGAGGTTACTTATGGCCGATAAGGTACTTGTCTAAAGTATGGTCAAGCAGTATAGAGATATTATGACTTACGAGCTTTGAGAGGTCTTGCTTGTATAGGTTTGGCTGACCGGTGGTTACACCCAATCCTTCTTCTCCGCCCATATTGCCCTTTGAATTGGATATTTTCACTAAAATAAATGCACGAGGCACACTGCGAGAGCGCGGAACGATAGTGTTAACCACAGTTAACCGCCTCGCGTCGAAAAGAAATTAAGTTGGTGCGTATACACTGCAGCGCCACCAAGAAAATGATTTTTGCTGGCAAACCTTTGGGCGCGTTTATAAGAATTTTGTAAATTTAAGTTGCCTAATTTTTTGTGCACATTGAATTTCTGTAACGATTAAATGATAGATTATGACAATCGTTGAATAAAATACGCAAAAGAATTTTCATGATTCGGAGATTGTTGAATCAAATTCCTGTGACTATTATCAGTAATATAAATGAGACATTTGCTAATGAATTTTTGACAGATATTCAAAACCGGACTATTTCTGTGAAAAATATACAATACTGTTTTAGTATGAAAATTTCATATATTTATAAAGCAATAACTGTATAATTATATTTTGTAATTTTTAAAAACAAATAGATACACTGAGGAGGAATTTTGGATTCAATTTTAAAATGGAATTCCAATGTTCACATATTTTTCTACATATATATAATACATTATAATTGCTTTTACGTTTACTTTAGGTTTATTAAAAATTTACTGCTAGTACTGCAACCAACATTTTGTCGTTATTCATCCATATATATTTGAGAGAGACATATAATTACTTTTGCAGTACTATCAGTAATTTTTAGAATACACCCTGTATTTGTATTACAGTAGTAGACACATAAAATTGAATGTATAACATTTATATGTATATATTTAATATTTTGGTAACTTAGATGTTTTAAAATATACATTTTATTCACATGCGATTTTTATGCTGTTGTTGTTTCCACAATAAAAATACACTTTTGAGATATAACAGCTTAATGTTTCTTAAAAGTCGAGTCATGGGACTAAGCAAGGCATCATCCATTAAATAAAATCTTAAACATTTTTAGCAAACATATCCTTCTCCATATTATTGTTACTTAAGTTTAATGATATTATATGTACTCATAACCAGGTCGAGAAACATAAAGAATATTCACAAGGAATTAACAATGTTAACTCTTAGGTTCCTAGTATCACATTAACTTGGTAGTACAGACGTATACTTCACATTTAATTTAATTTGTAACACTGTCTGAGAACATCTTTTATTGCATTGGTGTGTACAACCAGTAATTATTTTGCTTTCTTGGTCCCTCTTGCTTTCCAAGCTTGCAAGAGATTCCAAGAAAAGTAGAGAGAGAAAAAGTGAACTTGTGACCCCAGCAAGACAAAGGCATACCACAATAATCCATAGGGTAAACCCTGAAAACATATTACTTTTTTGTAGAAACTTTTCTGAGTTTACAAATATTTAACTTACATGCCATATGTGAATATCATCAGAATTGTCACTTGTAAGATACTTCCAAACATCCTTGAAGTAATAAATGACAGCATAGGAAAGTGGTCCATAGCCCAACAAAATAATACCAATCATATATCGCTGTAATGTTTTGATTTTGTTCCTTCTAATTGCTGATAATCCCAGGAATGACAACAACAAACTTGTACACCATATGTACTCCCACCATAGTGGCTAAAAAGATATAAATCACATAGACATTTAATACATAAACATGCTCATTTAAATATGTATAATTAATGTGCCATACCACTGGAATCTGTAACTCTTCAATTTCCAAAATAAAAATATCCAAACGATCCAAAATGTCTGCTGATAATTTGGCTAGCATGACAAAAAATAGGAGGTAGTGAAAAAATATACAATACTTCAGTCTTGACTTGTTCATTGCACTATAATAAAAGATCTTGTTAATAACAGTACTTCTTATTTCTTAAATAATCATATGCACAGTGACAGCTGTGCAACCTCATGCTCTAGCAGTAGGTTAGAGACCTGCACTCACTAAGAGATTACAAATTATTTTTAAAAAACTTGGCAATACTCCGATACATCAAAAATTACCAGGAAACGACAGTCTCTCTCATGAGAAATTTGTTTGCCGTCCTTAAAACTATTAATTGCATTCTATTTCACTGAGACAGACTCACCTAGTTTGATATTGTGTCGCGATTATTTGTCTATGAGTGAAATCACTACCATCTGTTCCTAGGGCTTGTGAAAGCGTTAATTTTGAAGCCATCTCGTTCCAATTTTTGACCCTCCGTTCATAAAATTTTTATCTTTCGAAGGACGACACACGATGGCAAGCAATTCCGAGGCAGGCTAGACGACTATTTTTAAACTTCGAGAACCTGAGCGCGACTGACGATCTCGTGGCACTCGTGGATTGTGTCGATTTCCTAAAGAGCGATCTATAATCGCAGGTTTTATAACTTGAAGGCCTATATTCATTTGGAGCGTAACGTGTATTGAAGATACGGTTTAATTTGCAGCCGATAATTTAAAAATAAATTAAATAAAAAATTACCTTTTAAAATCATAATCTTTCGAGTGCTAAATTATTTCAAATTTAATTATATACATAGAATAAAGTATATTAATATTCGGAGACTACTCCGAAATATATCACATGTTATCTCATATCAAGCTTTTCGGAATGTAAAATCAGCAAAACCACAAGAATTATTATTTGTAGTCACAGCAAATTGCAGCAGGTCGTTGCTACAGAGATGAGTAGGGAGATTGCCAATGAGCCTGTTTTTGGTAGCTCCGCAAAGTTAGCCCCTCCACTTTGACTTTCGACATTTTTCTTTTTACCAATCGATTGGTGATCGTTTGGTGGTATTTGGTAGTCCATTCAAAACGTTTGGTGGTTTTCGGTTTACTTTCAAAATCCATAATAAATTTTTAGCATTAAGTTAGCCCCCCCACTTTGACTTTTTTCTTTTCACCAATCGATTGGTGGTCGTTTGGTGGTATTTGGTAGTCCATTCAAAACGTTTGGTGGTTTTCGGTTTACTTTCAAAATCCATAATAAATTTTTAGCATTAAGTTAGCCCCCCCACTTTGACTTTTTTCTTTTCACCAATCGATTGGTGGTCGTTTGGTGGTATTTGGTAGTCCATTCAGAACATTTGGTGGTTTTTGGTTTACTTTTAAAATTCATAACAAATTTTTAGCATTAAGTTAGCCCCCCCCACTTTGACTTTCGACATTTTTCTTTTTACCAATCGATTGGTGGTCGTTTGGTGGTATTTGGTAGTCCATTCAGAACATTTGGTGGTTTTTGGTTTACTTTTAAAATTCATAACAAATTTTTAGCATTAAGTTAGCCCCCCCCACTTTGACTTTTTTCTTTTCACCAATCGATTGGTGGTCGTTTGGTGGTATTTGGTAGTCCATTCAGAACATTTGGTGGTTTTTGGTTTACTTTTAAAATTCATAACAAATTTTTAGCATTAACATAGCCCCCCTCCCACTTCGACTTTTGACATTTTTCTTTTTACCAATCGATTGGTGGTCGTTTGGTGGTATTTGGTCAGTATTAACTAATCGGTTTAAGACCGTCGTAAAGCCCGGTTCCACAACTCAAGTTTAAGTCGGTAAACCGGGTTTAATGAAAAACGCGCGTTCCACAACTTCGTAAACCACGGTTAAGCCGAGGAGTCGTCGGTTAAATATAACCGGCCAAATTTGGGCGTTTAACGGGCTAAACTTCGGTTATCTGTATCAGTGGCTCCACCAAGGTAGGTGACAGCATTCTCGCTCCTCGCGGATCCTTAACCTAACCTCATATCATGGTTAATCATATTGTTGCTGCAACTGATTTATCTCCCATAAAAATGGGAAACAGACGGATTATCGATGCTTTGTTATCCTCTTCAGATGAAGAAGATTTTTTTGTGCATCGAAGGCAAAAAGTTGTGAGAAGACGCATAGATCATTTCGAAGAATTTGATAATATCGATTTTCCTGCTCGATTTCGCTTATCGAAAGAAAGTGTATAGGAAGTCCTACGCATATACGACATGAACTTGAGCATCGAAGAGAACAGTCAGTACTTCGTATATCTATATAATTAAAATCTTTGTTGATTAGACTTGTAACATATTATGTGTGCAAACCTAATGTGACATGAGATTTATAAATTTTTTTTAGAATCCATGCTATATCTCCAATGAACCAACTGCTTTTAACACTGCGGTTTTATGCGACTGGAAGTCATTTAATTTCAGCTGGGGACTTCAGTGGTGTCATCAAGACAAGTGCACACAGAATAGTACATGCAGTTACTGCTGCAATTGCTCGACTTCAGCCACTTTACATAAAGTTTCCTACAATGCCGAAGGAGGTAAAACATACACAGTTAAAATTCTTCAACATTGCATGTTTTCCAAGAGTCCTTGGAAGCTTGGACTGCACTCACGTTAAAATTCAGTCACTTGATAAGTGTCACACTTGTCACAATATTATGTCAATACAAAGTTTATTTTGATAAACATTAGTCAATGTGATGATATCTCATATACAGGTGGAAACGATGCTGAAGTTTTTAGAAATCGAAAAGGGTATTTTTCGATAAATGTGCAAGCTGTTTGCAATGCAAATTTAGAATTTTCCGACATTGTAGCGCGCTGGCCAGGATCGGTTCATGATTGCAACATATTTAATAACTCTAGAATACGTACCTTATTCGAAGCTAATACATTTGGAGATGGATTATTAGTTGGCGACAGCGGATACCAACTGCGATCATATGTAATGACACCGTTGGGTAATCCAAGAACTCGCTCCGAACAACTGTATAATGAATCGCTGATTAGAACTCGAAATACTATTGAAGGAACATTTGGAGTGTGGAAGAGAAGGTTTCCAGTCTTAGCTCTTGGATCCAGATTTCAGAAAACGGATACATTATTAGCTGTGATAGTAGCTACTGCAGTATTGCACAACATTGCCAGACATGCTGGTGAACTTTTGCCACCAGGCGATCCGGCACTTCAACTGCCCGCACCATGGGAACACATTTTGAAAGAAGGTATAATAAGACACGAATTAAACAGGCCACATCGAAATAGGGTACAAAACCATGTGCAAAATGCATTAATAAATGGTTACTTCCAAAGGTTGGTGCGAACTCGCTCGATTTTATTTTTATTTATTTTTAATCATTGCTAGCGTTGAAACCTTTTGTAATGTTCATGTGTTTCAGCTTGATAAGATAAAATCGAGAAAGGATTTTTTAAAAACAAAACTTGAGACATCGCAGAGAGAGAGAAAGAGAGAGAGAGATACTCCTTCAAGTTTCCCTGAAGTCACGTCCGTTGCAGCAGCATAGGAAATAGTAAACAAAGGAAAAATTGAAGTGCAAGAAAATCGATCTTGTGTATGATTAAAGTTCATTGCAATATACTCACGAAATTTATTTTTCGAACTCCAGAATTTGTAAATACGACGAACTACATTATATTTATAGTAAAACTATGTAGAATTGAAAAGTTGACTAAAAATGATTCTGTTTCCTGGAGGTTTCTCTTCCTTCCCGAAATATTGTTATTGTAGTTAATAAAGATGCGTTCATTTGCAAAAATATCCGTATAAAACATATTTGAGTACTAAAACTTTCACAACAAATACAACTTTTTCGACATTTCTTAAATTTAATAAAGAGATTATTATAATCAGTCATTGTCGCTGGCGTAGGAACTTATTAAGATTCTTTAGTTTTAAGATACTCATACTTAATTTTACTATTTTATATTGATAATAAAAATGACCAGAGATATGCGTAATAATGTATCCCTTCCACTACTTCATTCCGGAAAGTCAATCATAGAAGACATTTGAAAAGACGTAAGCACTCGGTTAGACTTATCTTCAACGGACTATAGGTTTCCGTTTCCGGTGGCGCGCCGAAACCAGAGAAAAATTGAGACCACCAAAAACAGGCTCATTGGCAATCTCCCTTACTCATCTCTGGTTGCTACACGCGTCCACCTCTGTATTCTTTTAGGAATAGACAAAATTTGTCTAGTTTTTCATTTTGTTTGAGTCTTATGATATACTGATATGTTAACTACAAGTATAAAATTTTGTGTTATACAATATTCTTATTTGAAAATATTCGCTATACTCCATCACAGGTGAGCCAACTCTTGTCACTTTGCTGTTATCTATTGACACGTGGTTGCACTGCTGTTGTAGTTTTTCATATAAGAAAGTTGAACGTATAATAATTCGGAAGAGAGTGACTGTCACTTCTTACTCACGTTTTATTTATCTGAGAAGTAAGGTTATTGATAATCAAATGATACGTCAGTTTTATTTGATTATGTAAGGTTATTAAGTCAATATAATATTTCATGAACAGATACTTTAATTCGTTTTTATTTATACAAAGTTTCAAAAATGAGTATGTTACAAGGCATCAAAATGTTAAAGCAGTTAATCCGATTCACCAATCGGAGTTTTACTAGTATTGGTAATTTTTTAATATTATTTATGGTTGAGTATGTTAATATAATATTATGTCTGTTACTGACTGTTTGAATAAGAGATTTGCATGCTGACATGTAAAACAGAAAGGACAAATTTAAAATTAAATAGTCAAATGAATTATGTATTCGTTATATTTAACTACATAGTCCTTAATATTGTCACTTTATTGATTAATATTTACAATATATATAACTAATTTATTTATTTTAAATTTAGTGAAAACAGAAATGGATACCAAAAAGGCATCTAATATTGTATGGATAGACATGGAAGTAAGAAATTACAATAATTTATTATTTTACTTTTAAATACATGCATTTCTAATAAAAACATTTTACGCCAATTTGAATAATACTGAAACATTTTTATAGATGACAGGACTTGATCCAGAAACATGCCATATTTTGGAAGTTGCCTGCTTAATTACAAATAGCAAATTAGATATAATTAGTGATAATTTCGATGTAGTAATTAATCAACCAAGTACAATATTGGAAAATATGTCAGAGTGGTGTATGAATCAACATAGCAAAGTATGGTAATTTTCTTTCTAAACTATGTTCTAAAAAATTCCTTTAATTTGGTTTATGCATTTTCTTTCAGACTGGACTAATAAATGAATCATATAAAAGTATAATTACTATAGAAGATGCTGAGAATCAATTATTAGAATTTATAAAAAAGTATGTCCCAGAAGGCAAGTGCCCAATAGCAGGAAATACTGTCTACATGGATCGGATATTTTTGAGAAAATATATGCCACACGTTAACGAATACATACATTATAGAATTATAGATGTTTCAACAATCAAAGAGCTTGCTAAGTAATATTTTAAATTATATTGCACCTCAAAGATAAGATTGTTCCCCAATAACCACTTGATGTAATTTAAAAATTAATATTACTATTTCTTTTCTAGGCGTTGGAACGTGGATGTATATCAATTAGGTATAACAAAGAATTTAAATCATAGAGCACTGTCTGATATAAAAGAAAGCATAGAGGAACTTAAAATATATAAAAAGCATATATTTAAAATTACAGACTAGTATAAATTACAGTACTATACAGTACTATAGATATAGAATTACTTTAATTTTTGAATAAAATTAGTACAATTTTCGTTAATATAAATTATCTAAAGATAAAACGTGAGTTCTAGAGGACATTGAAACTCACATGAAGGTGGTCTTTTGATAGCACATTTTATTGGTCAACAACCTACAAATAAAATAAAACTTGTCACCATACTACAATAAATTCTTGAATATGTATAAATTTTATGCTTGTACATTCATTTACATTGTTTAATCTAATTATTCTTAAAAAACTGTATAACTTAGTCATAACTTTACTTTATTGAACAATTCCATCAGAGAACAATAAACAGTTTTGTAAGTATAAAAATAATTTCTTCTAATTTGCCCATCAATTATAAATTTTGTTAAAATTACCATACAAAAATTAAGAATCTTACCTACCTAAATCGAAATTTTCGCGCCCTCTTTTCTGGAACACGTCGGCGCAATACCACGTTTCAGCGACAATCGATGACTACATGTGCATCAGGCTTTTGGTTCGCGAGGGTCTACACGAGCCTGTTGCCAGTTATTGATCTCACACGGTGACACAACACTGCATTGCTGTCAACGAAGAAAACACTCTCGGCCACGCAGCGTTCGTCGAAAACGCGCAGATAAGTCGTTGCCAGCACCGTGAAAGATCATGTTCGCGAGCGTGAAATAAAACGTAAATGGTTAATTTATCAGTAGAGAGTAACATTTCGCGGTGACGTCATCTCAATCTGATAAAAATGCAGGAATTTTTCAAGGTGCAGGACACCTAAACTAATCATCCTTTATGCCACGGTTTCGCGATATACGTCGATATTATCTTCGGTGATGGATTTTTGCAGATTGTATAAGGAAATCTAATTTTCACATTTCGTTCCTTTCATCGGATCGTTATTGGTATTCTCCTTAACGTTACGATTCCCGGTGTCTTTCAGACCTCGGATTATCTCCGTAAGCGTTCTAACGATTGTCAAATGTGATCGTGTAGTGCGCGATGAAGAAGTTTACATTTAAGGGTGTACTCGACGGTTTTCGATCGTCGGTCGCTCAACAGGTTAAACCCGATCAGGAAATCATCGAGAATCTACGATCGGAGCATTTTCAAGTGAAAAAGGTCAGTGTACTATATGGATATCGATATAAAGTTTTGAATAATGTCAACGGTCTGTTTGAATATGATATCGGAAGACCGTCATTTTGTTATCACAAATAATATCTAATATATACTATTTCCTGAGCGTCTGACGTGTCCCAATTCGCTACTTACGGAATGTTCCATTTTGGAAAAATGGAGATGCCTCCTTTCACCCTTTCTTTCTTTGTAAAAAGATTTACTAAATTGAAGATCGTCGCTTTGCTTTGTCATCATTTCACCTTTACTTATTGAATTATTTTATTTATTCTTGATTTATCGTTTATGTTTCATCGTCTGTCATACTCTATTGATATCTCTGTTTGCCTGTAAATATTTTCTGCTCTATCCGGGACGTCCCCGGGCAAGTGCGTCTGGCCAATCAATTGGTAAATGGTTATTTAACGAGCCTGGTACTGCAACATATAGCATGCAAAAAATATTTGCAAAATTTCAGGAGATCGTATCCTTTATGAATCTGTAGGATCTCATAAGACAACATTTTGTATTATATTCTTTTTTTGATTTATTCCTTTTACTGATAACACTCGGCACCCTAAATCGATATATACATTTGTCTTCGCGTTTTGGATTGTTCCATTTCAAGATTGCGGTATTCCAGAAATAAATCGGAAGAGCAATAATAGTAGTGGACAACGAGAACATAAAAGAGAAGAGGAGAAAGAAAAAGTACTGACAAAGCTTACGAGTGACGTTACCCTGGAATATTAAAATACTATACAAAAAAAAATAAATAAACTGTTTTTTGCTTTGTTGTACTGTAGTTCTAACGTCCAATCGAATAAAATGAGAGAAACATGTTATACAATGCCACCTACTAGAAAGTCACCTATTTTATATATGGAGATTAGTCTCTGAAATATAGAAATATATATGTTATCCTGTACGCATACTGAAGCGTGCGCTTATTTTTTTCACTGTTCAAACTTTTAGATTATTAGCTAACAAGCAGCGTTACAATTTGATAAAACGTTATCGTGCGAATATAATGGCAAGCAGAAACAGAGGTATTCAGTTTGACTTTCACAATAAACTATTCATTACTGAAGTTGGCGAGTTACTCGGAACATGCGTTAATTAAAAATTGAAACTTTCCGAGTGCCGGTAACAAGCAACGTTTCCGTATATGAGAGGAGCTCCGGGTGAATAAATACAATTTTTGAATATTTCGTATTGTTTTAATGGCTTTGTATTAACATAGGGGTATTTATTATTATTTGAAATACGAATATAACGTAGCTCTGTTGATGAATGTTCGTTTTTGGTTTTCCTTGTTTCAGACATTTCGACATGGCTTTCCATATCAACCTACTGCAGTTGCATTTGATCCTGTTCAAAGGCTACTTGCTATTGGAACTAAATCAGGATCGCTTAGAATGTATCCTTTGCTATAATGACTTTTTAGTTTTTGATCCTTTCGTAGAGATCATCTTTAGTATTGCAAGATTGATATTCGATACAGTTTTTATTCTTATTGTAGTATGACAATATGTTTATGACTGCTTTGAGAGATTTGAATTTTTCTTTAACTCTCATCAATGTTATCCATTTAGTTTGGGAAGACCTGGAGTAGATACTCATGTAAAGCACGAGGGTGGTGCAGCTGTAATACAGCTGCTGTTCCTAGTTAATGAAGGAGCTCTGGTATCTGCTACTGCAGATGATACTTTACATCTGTGGAATTTCAGGCAGAAAATACCACAGGTTGTGCAGAGCCTGAAGTTTCAACGAGAGAGGTAGGAAGAAAACAGGATTGCTTCGAATTCCCTCTGTCTGGTCTCTTCTATTCATTCCAAAGAGGAATTATTCTACTGAAGTACTCTAAAAGTGGCAATCTTTGGTACTTACAGTACCACTTGTGGATTTTCAAGAGGGTACTCAAATACAGTTTCTAGTGGAAACAGAAACCTAATAACCGATCAGAAATTCAATGATTTATACTGTATATGACATACTATCCAACATCAAGTTTCACGCGTTACACGCTTAAAGTGGCCCTTTTGTAAAATTGATTTGACGTTCAATTCATATCTGACATAATAACATATACCTGTGCCTTTGTGTTTCTACAGAATAACGTGCATGCACCTACCTCTTCAAAGCAAATGGTTGTACGTCGGAACGGAACGAGGTAACATTCACATACTCCATATTGAAACGTTCGTTTTGTCAGGGTACGTGATCAACTGGAACAAGGCCATTGAAGTGTAAGTACTTAAAATCAATATTTCATTGAAGCTTTAAAACGCCTCTGCATTTCCTGAATCTCGGAAGTTCGAACGTCTATTGTAGAAAGGAGGTCGGCAAATGATTAGCCCACATGAAGAACACGTCCCGATATCTAGCGTCCTTCATTTATTCAGATAAAACCTCACCAACAAGCTGTATGCTTTTCTTTTATTCTTGTATAACAATTGCTATGTTCATAAGCATATACCGGAACACATACTGATCACCCTGCATTATTACGGCATATTTCAATGGAACGTATATTTAGAGCTATGCGAAAAAGAAAAATTATCGATATGACCTGCCTTTATAATTTACCTACTTTCAGTCAGCAACCCTAAAAATATATGGATCAAATTCCCCTTTGGTCAGTCTCATGTGCAACAGAGCCAAGCAGCGAATTTATTTTTGCGCTTCGAGTGATACTATCTCATGGTTGGATGATCCTAGTATCCCTTTATTGAATAGCGAACCCGATATCTAGGCTTTCAGTTTTTTTTTTTTTTTTTTTTTTTTTTTTTTTTTTTTTTTTTTTTTTTTTTTTTTTTTTTTTTTTCAATATAGAATTGGAAAAATACATTGCACCTGGTAGAATGACAAAAAGAATATCCTTTATCAAAGGGAATGGAATGATATTTATTTCACTGATATAACATGACAGCTCTATGATTTATAATGACAATAAAAATACATTTCAGATCGAGAAAAACTCATCCCGGGGCTGTGATACATTTGAGTGATAATCCTTTAGATTTGAGCAAGGTATATTTCTTCGTACATTGACCCACAAAAATTTGTTTGAAAATCATCAATTGTGAATCTATTATTTATATACGAATTTCGGAACAAATTATTGTGATAGTCCGTCTACTAATTTTATAAATAGTTACATTTCGAATATGGAAAAAATGCCGTACGTGAATACCTCTTATTCCAGATGCTGATTGGTTACGAGTCTGGTCAGATTGTTCTTTGGGATTTGAAACTAAAAGCCGCAGATTACAGATGTCAAGCTGATGAACCATTGAGATCGATATCCTGGCATCACGAAGGCAAACAGTTCATGTGTAGTCATACTGATGGTTCGCTCTCTACCTGGGCTCTACGCCAATTAAAACCAATAAATGTTATCCACCCACACGGTTAGTAAATGTACATGACATGTATACAGGCTACTGTATACTACTACTGCATTGTTCTCAGTTGTCATACGTGACATGACCTTAATTAGTAACATGAATAACATTTTATCTTTTTTCAATTGCCTAACAAAGACAGACTCGCCTTATTACAATTTACTTTACTTTTGTTCATAGCAAAAAATACTAAGGATGGTGAACCGGAGGCTTGCAAGTCTATTCAAAAAGTCGAGTGGAAACTGTCAAGATCTGGGTAAGACATTGTAACACCTTATTGCATGTAATAATTGCTGGATGATAATAAACAGGCAGAATCATGATCAGTTTATTCGACACAAACTCTTTGTTATCAAATACATTAATCATTCGTGAATTTATGATATGAACCTTGAAGAGAACGTTTTTGGTATCAATATTTCTTTGTGTTAACATGACAGCACCGTTGTCAATACAACAATATCACTGTCACTACCCCGAACAATAACTATGTGGAAAATTGTATTGTCAGTACCGAAACCATGTCGATGATCGTAGCTAGCCTATTCATACAAACAATCTTCAATGGATAACAATGAAACGCGAAAGGATAACATCATTCTAATTCTCATCCGTACTGTAGGGAAGCGTACGTCATATTTTCTGGAGGGTTGGCTTACGACACAACCGGTAGAACACCCAGTATTACAGTAATACAAGGAAAAACGACAACAGTCTTGGAAATGGAGCACAGTGTCGTTGATTTTATAACCCTGTGCGAAAGTCCTTGGACCAGTGGTATGTGGGATTTTTATTTAGCTGAATTACTACAGCTTTACCTATTGAATTATGCTAACCGAATTGATTTTCATTATTGAGTTTTAATCGTTTTTATGATTTTTACAGATTTTCAAGATCCTTACGCTGTTGTTGTCTTACTTCAAAATGATCTGGTTGTGATTGATCTATTGACAGCTGGTTTCCCATGCTTTGAGAACCCATATCCTATGGATATTCATGAATCTCCTGTGACTTGCTGTGCATATTTTGCGGATTGTCCTTCGGATTTGGTACCTGCTTTCTACTCGGTGGGTTCGAAATCTCAAAAGAAAACAGGATTCAGCGAAAAGGAATGGCCGATCTCCGGAGGCGAGTGGAGTCCAAACTCCAGCAGCTACAATGAGATCATTCTCACTGGGTCAGTTGACAATAACTTTGTTATCATGAGTGAACGCGAGTGTTTGGTACAACTGTTAACGTCATTGAAAGTTTGATACTTTGTAATTCACTTGAGGTAGTTGGAGAGCATGGATACCGTGCAGAGAAATGACGGATGTCTGTAACTAGTAATGTTCTACATTAAACAACTATTAATCATAATTGTTCAACGAAATATTAACTACTGCTACAGGCACGCTGACGGTAGTATAAAGTTCTGGGATGCATCGGCTGGCACGTTGCAAGTACTTTATAAGCTGAAAACAGCAAAGCTCTTCGAGAAGAGCAGAACGCGTAGCTTAGATTCCGAGGAGGATCCACTTGCTGTGCAATTGATTTTCCTGTGCCCTGAAAGCCGGAAGCTTGCGATTGCTGGTTCCGGAAGGCACGTGATACTCTTTAAGTTCAAAAAGGTTGAGAGCATGTCGGAAATTGTGGTAAGTCATAAGGGAGCTTCGGTACTGTGTAAGCTGTCTACTTAGTCAATTTTGTTTTTATTAAAAAATAAAAATGGAAGTTTTTAAAATAAAAGGTCACCGAAAACATCGCGTCCACGATTTTTATCTTCACGTTTTAGACACTGGAGATTCCATTGACGTCAGATCCGTCTAAGGAGACTGAATGTTCTCCAGATTACGAGTATCCACCAAGTGGTAACGTTGCCGGAGAAGAATTGAAGAATCATTCAGTCGAGTATACTTATCCGTTGAAGGTTAAGGGTGGTTTGCAGAAGAGAGCTGCTGGTTTTCAAGCGACCTTGATCTGTTTGACACCATGGATAAATGGCGAGCAACCTGAAAACATTACGGCACTCAGTTTAAATTCTTCATACGGTCTGTAAGTATCTGATGCTTCCTACCTAGATGGTACAAATATGAATTACTGTTGATTTCATATTCTTCTGTGATCCAAGACTGGCCTATGGAAGTGAAACGGGACTCGCGATCGTGGACATTGTACAAAAGGTTTCCCTACTGGTGATGAGCACTGCTGATCTATGCAGCAACACTGACACTTATCAACGTGCATTACGTAGTCCAAAACGTCAGGATGAATCGAAGAAAGAAAATGATGACAAAGCCAGAAGCCCAAGCATAGATCAGGTAAGATATATCTCCCTAGTAACTTTGCTTCACTTTGTCTTCTACCTACCCTCTGACTTATACACGGACTATACTACATGTACCGTGATACTTTCTTGGACAATCGATTGTTTCTACGTTTTAAAGTATTTAGACATTTAGAAATTCCATGATACAATTAGCCAGAAGTACAGTCATAATTAACTGTGTTAATATCGTCATAGGAAAACTATTGTTCGTGTAATGCTTAGTACGGATTCCGCGTGTATAGAAAAGAAAGATGCCGGTTTGCGAAATATGTTTTCATTAACGTATTTCTTTTTCTTTGTTTTTGTACGATCTTTAAACGTTGGCAAAATAAGAAACAAGCTGTAGTTTTTTTTTTAATTATGAGTTATTCGAATATGGTGAAGGACATTGTTTTCATTAGGTATATTCTTCCTGTCTGAAGTTTTGGAGTTTCTGCTGGATGTCCACACGTGCCTTTGCACAAAGTATGACATTTTCTTGTTTTCATACACAAAATGTTGCATTAATAATATCTAGATTAGAATACGTAGCAATATCAAACGAAGTCCAACAACATATCCATCCGTATTTCCTAACGTAATACTTTTGTTGTAAGATATTTGAGTCATATATACAATGGACCTCGCGTGGCAAACTGACAATTGATGAATAGGAAATCAATTCGAGATTACGTGTTGTCTGATTTATAATTTTTTATGGAAAGAAAAATATCGACTGTGGTATGGAACTGTCCAAGTGAATTGTTATTATATATCTTTATTTTTCAAAACTGAGCGATACCCAAAATCTTATAAAGCATTGTCGATTGAAACTTTCCAAGCTGAGGAATACTGGTAAAGAAAAAACAATATGTTTCATCAAATCTTTATTCACCGAATACTTCCATCTTTCATTATCTTTGTCTATCGTAGAACTAGTCTAACCAAAGAGCTACTTCTAATAATACACTCTGTATACTTTGTAAACTCTTTTAATTTACAAAGCCTTTCAACTAAGGACGTTTCTAGATAGTTGCAGACACCAGAAACCAATATAATGAAATCTCAGAACTCTTAGGAAGCACAGAAATACTAAGGAAGAATCCTAACAGGAGACACGATTTTAAGGATTCTGAGTCTTTCAATTTGTTTTAAAATTTCTTTCAGTTTTTTAATGCTGATTAAGAAACAGCTATTGCACTTCGCAGTATACACTCAAACAATTTAACATGTGGCTATCCGAATAGCTGTATCTAGGAGTGTCAGTAGAATCCTCATCGACTACACCATAAGTATTTCACTGTGACAGAAGAAACGAAAAAATAACTAAGTGAAAACTATTAAAAGAGCAGTGCCTTCAATGTTATGAGAAATTTCGATTTAGAATCGAGAATGTCATAGACAACTGTTATTGGTCAAACTTGTCATTTTCCACGTGCTGCCAAAGACTTGAAGCTGCTTCACTCACTGCGTGGGCTCGTAAATTCAATGATAATTTACACTTTTGTAGTATATCCCATGAAATGCGATTACTGACCTACTTCTCCGTAATGCCTTAATACATAGTGAGACAGTGTCAGCGGTTATCTGTCTAATCTTCGCGTAGGAACAAATTTGATAATTTATAGATTATTAAATTCGGAAAACTAGACGCAATAAGAGTCCTTCAATGAAATGGAGCATTTTTTGTTTAATACTTTGATTACGGTTTAAAAGGATGTGTATTCGTTATCAGTTCTGATATCGTGGGGCTATACCGAAACCTTTTAAACGCAGGCCCAATTAATTTTATCAAAAAAGGAGGGGTAAATGTGATGCAGCGTGCGATAGAAACTTTTAGTCGGATTAACCAGCAACGAGTATGTGAAGGAATTCATAGTCTTATCCGATAATTCGATACTTTGCTTAGTTCACGATTGATTAATGCATTTGTATTCTTAAGTGTCCTATTAGCTGTGTACAATCTAATTAAAACGCAGCAACAGTCTCGTATAGATTATTCGGTCTACAGCAGAGCAACCTAATAAAATGAATCGATATTAATTAAATTATTAATAAATAATATAAATAGAGAAATATTGAATAATTTCACAAATGAAAATGTATACTTGCATTACGTCCACGTTTAAATTGTAACAGTTATTTTAGGACGGAATTGTCAGTTCTTTGTCCTTTTATTTGTATTTTTTTTTTTAAGAACGAAATGCATGACCTTCATGAATATTTTTAACAATTGGATACTTACTAATTAAATGTTCAAGACCACAATTAATATTGTTTAAATAGCGAATACGAAAAGTGAACTACTTGTGTTAGATAGTGTCGTAGAAAGCTTTGTCTCAAAGGATGTCAATTTTGATCGATGACTGAACCTAGAGCTCTGTCGATGGTACATAAGAAATATTATCCTTTGTTTTCATATAGGTTATTTATTATTTGTGAAAAGCAAAGAGAACATTAATGCCAAAAGATTTTTTCGTTTAACGTGCAACAAAATTTCATAGTGGATTGGATATATTAAATTTATTTTATTGGCTGATGAATTTGAATATTATAAAGCAGTGAAATGGCTGCTAGCTCTTGAAACTAATATCATTTGTAAAATTCTGTTAACTATTTATCATTTATACGTTGTTCATACTTCTGTAGATGCAACGGAAGTAGGACGAGAAAGAAAAGAAATAATGTTTATGTACATTGACAGTGAGTGGAAGTGGCTGCCATTTTGAATCGCTTTACACATTAGCCTTGGGATACTGATGATCTGCATCGAAACTTAATTTTGGGAATAAATTTATTTGTCTTAGAATTCATTTGCGAACGAGAGATTGGCTCGTTTATAAATTATTATTCATACATATAAGCATGCAAAGATTTGACATGCCAAAAGTAGTGAAAGTTTGTAAGAATTTTTTTTTATTTTGATATTTTATCACATACGATATGACTACTTTACTCGATACACCCAGTTTACTCGAATCAATTAAAATACATAATTAACTCTACGTCATTATTCCAGTCATAAAGAATTCGCGTACGTTAATGATTTGCGTTAGTGATTTTCGAATCATTTGATCGGACAATTTTCAACGGAGTATAGAGGCTGTGAAAAAAACACAAAATGTGTTTGGTTAGTTTTAATCACAGCTCCAAAACTATTAATACACACTGTTAAGCGACAACGACGTAACGTGAATTACAATTTTAGTGAAAATACAATACGCCAGATAACAAATGATTTCTCGTTTGACGACTCGTGTTATTTGACTGTATATTTAATTGTTATTTGAAATGCCATATGTTCAATGCGTATAAAGTGATTACAGGAGATGTACATTACTCACGTATTTCCATAACATGACTTTCGAAAATTAGAGGAATACAAATGATAGCGAGAACAACGACAATGGTAACGGACGGCAACAATCGCAAATAATTTTGCATCTCAGCATGATATTATCGAATAACATTCATGCAGCCTGCGTGTATAAATTATCTACGGTATCCAATTTGTTTTGAATAAGTTATATTGTGTTGCAAAAAAAAAATTATTACCGGGTCTTGCGAATGATTACAGATTTACAAATTTGAAATTATCTTATCTTATCTTAATATTACTGTTATTACTAATTTAAGTAATTAATATTAAGATAAGCCAGTTGTGTAAACATTATGCGGTTGTATAATGTTTTTTTAACTTGTCGGTATACTATGGCTATTTGCAAATTACACAAAAAAAAAAGTGAAGAAAAACCAGTTCAAGGAAATACGGAAACTTACGATGACGTGTACTAAATGAAATTACGCCAAGCCGATTGGTTACAAATAATGCAAAAAAATCTGAGATTCTCTTGTCTCGGTTAAAAGGTATGTCACTCGTGTGATCGAGAATGATATACTTACAAGAAATAGAAATACGAATGATCCTTGGTCTCATGAAAATTCTGCGACGTGCCTTTGTTAGAATAGAATTTCACAGAATATCGTAAAATCCTTAGTATCTTGTGTCATGTATTGCATGTGCATTCTATTATTAGTGCATTTATAACTATTTATCTAGTCTTAAACTGTATTTACTTCTATCAGTAGTCATTGTGCCTGCTTCGTAGTATTATTGTGCTATATTTTATTTATATTTGTGGCGCACAACGATTGCTCTCAGCCAAGAGGAAAGGAGGAAAATAAAGAAAATATAAGGATAAACAGGTCTGCCGTGAGACACGACTGCGTGAAAGACACGCGTTATGCATTTGCTATGCCACAAAATTCAAATTTACATCATCTTGAAACCGGGAGCGTCGAACGTCCAGAGTTCTTGTTGTTTTGCATTGATTTACAATATAATTTTTTCGTCTAGCGTACAAAAATAAGAAAAGACCAGGACTTCGTGTACATCTTTAGTTTTTGTGATGGCAAATGCATAAGACTCAATCGTGGTTCGTGCGGTTGTAACTTGAAACTGAAGTAAAACACCTCATCTATACTTGCTTTATGGCTTGGCTGCCGTTTTCAGCCTTGACTGTATCCCGCACTTTTAACACTGTGGAGGTCTTATCTCATTAATACATGGAGCACCCACTTGGCTGTCAAATATTGAAAAATAATAACAAAAAATCTTCCTACAATTTTACCGTCAAATTTGACAAAATGATTGCAGCTGATTCTTCAGTTCTAGGATTCATTGTGAAACATCCTGTATGTCTAGTTGTCAAAATTTTGTTCAGCCACATGCAGAATTGTCTTCATTGTATATCTCTCCTAAGAGGCATACGTCATACGTTACGTTTTATGGGGTGAAAAAAAAAAGCGTGCGACTTTGTCTCAGAGATTTTAATTGGTGCAATGCAATGTCTGGCCCACCTGAAATCTGGAACCTTGTCGAGGTACAAATCAAGAATACAGTAGACACTCTCTTGTACGATAAGTGAAGAAATTTTCTGTCATTTATCTTCAATGAAAAAACGTCAATTTCTATGAGCATCTTAGGTCTCATTCAATGGGAATCAGCCTTGTGTGTCGTTGATACATAATTGTGAAAATTTGAATAACTGAAATTTGATTCATTCGCCATTTACAATCTGCACTCTTCTGCGAGATAAAGCGTTTTGTCGACAGTCTTGGGAAGTGACAAGTGACCATGAATTTGTGATGTTTCTCGATTCCAATGATGGTTCCCGCGACATATCCACATAGAAATGAACGAGAATTCGCGATATTGTGCGAATAAGGCAATTCCCTACATGATACCTGTACCTTATACTACCTAATACAAATAGCAATAGAAAGCAGAATTAGGAATGACTGCGAATCGTGTCGGTTGCTGGTTTTCTCTTTTAACTAACGATTAATGACAATTAAGAGAAGACTGGACGATTTCAGAAAAAAAAAATCTTTAAATTGTCCATCCTATTATCGTTCCTTATGAACTGATTGACTGTGCACAAATCCACATACTAGATTCATCAGAATCAGCAATCGACATCTGAATCCGAGCCTGTAGTAGCACCATTAGAAGACACGGTCGTCCTCTCCCTTCATCATCCTCAACAACAGGTGCACCAGCCTCCAATTCACGAGGATTGTCACGGTGTGAACAGTGATCACAAAGGGAGCACAGAGGAGACTGCTGCTGGGAATCCTGCTAAAGGAGGGATCGCCGCAGCGCCCTCGGAAGATGAGAATCTTCGCAAGAACTATAGCTGGAAAGGATTTAGCCTCAAGAGACAACTGAGCAAGGTCGACCTCAAAATCAAGAACACCTTCGTCGCTTCGTCATCATCCCAGAATGGGGTACTTGTATGACTTGTAATAAGTGCTTTGCATTCAGACGTATCATCCACTTCATATATTTTTTTTTTTGACAAAACTTCTAAGGGATTTATTTCATTAGAGTCTAACAAACATAAATTATTTCTACAACTGGATTTTCAATGAACATGAAACTCGTTTAACAAAATCAACCTTGGTCGTACACAAATTTTCGGATCATCCCCCCCTCCCCCCTTCCCTCCAATGAAAAAGTTACATTATTGAAATCATGAAATTCTCCATCTCTATTAGTTTAAAAGAAAAAGAAAATCTTGCAATACGCGATTTTGAAATTACATGCAAGTACCCCATTACCAGCAGGCAGGTAGCAACAGCAGTAGCAGTGGTACCAGTACAACGAGCAACAACCAAAAGCGTTCTGTATTTTACTGCAACCCCAGCGAAAGTACAACGCCCTTGTCGCCAGTCGAGAGTGTCGGCTCAGAGTCTTCATCATCACCAGAGAAAAATTCACCTCAGCACGAAAAGTCACCCTCGACAGAATCCAAGTTTACCAGCAGCGACGGCAAGAGTGTGAATTCTCAGATTGAGACTGAAAAAATAAAAAGTATCACTGGTACAGAAGATCAAGGAATAACAGCAACAACAGAGCCAGTACGACCAGCAGACTTACCACTATTTGACAACGAATGCAAACCACCCGTTAGAACGAAACGTGCTGGCAAGGAGAAGCTCCCTAAGAGAGAAGGTCGTTTGTTATCAGTGCCAAACATAAAGTATCAAAAGAACGACGGAGTACTTTGCGATCTGAGATGTGAGGATTCTACGAGCACCGAGTCCTTTGCTGGAAATTTTATGAGAAGATTCAGTAAGTGTTTATCAACTAGTATAGCCGCAGTGTTATGTATCATTCGTGTGTCCTAGGGATGAGATTCATGTTAGAGTTTCTTCTTTACGGTACAGTAAGTCCTAAGTAATACGCTTATCTGATCTCTTTAACCCAATTTTGCATTTACGTGGGTGAAGGAATGGTACAATCGATAATCATTCGATAACGATCATCACGCTAGCGATTTTTCTCTATAATTGCATTATGTGTTCGTCCATGTCAATTGACTTCTTTTCAAGTCGAGATAGTCATTATCGCAGAAGGTACAATGACAGTTCAATGATCTTTCGACGAAAGAGTCTCATGACAAGTGAGCATTGTGCAGTGTGAATGCTGGCTGCGAAGAATAACAAGAGTAACTATTAACATTGTATCTTGTACGCTTATTACTTATGCATTTATTAACATCGTATTAATATTTTTCTTTCTTTTTTTTTTGGTTCTTTTTTTTTCGTTTCTTTTTTATAGAATTTTCTTTGTCTTTGTTTTTTTTTTCTTGTCTCTTCTGTGCGTTCATATCAAAGGCCTACGATGCTCGTAGGACTTCTGCGAGACTGAGTGCAGAATTGAAATTGTGTCTCGTGTCAGCTGTTTTGTCGAGACGCCATTCTTTTTTTTACCGATACGTGGATTCTTTGTACAAAACATTTAAATGCTTAAGCGATAACCGCGACGTGCTTAAGGATTAGAGCCTGAAAAATAGGTGAAACGCTTTCGAGAACAGTTATGTGGAATACATGAATCTGATTGTGTCCGAATGCATATTATATATGTATATGTATATAAAGTCTTATATAATGGTCAGTCAATCAGGTTATAATAACAATCAAAAGTATTACTACAAGCTAAAATTCTATATGGTACACGTGAAGCATGTATAGAAAAATTTTCTGTCATTTGTGGAAGAGTGCAGATGGTTAACGAAAAAATAAAGCTAGCCCACACGTAATACGGTTGTCAACAATTAAAAAAGAAGAAAGCAAAGGATTGAGAGGGTGTCTACGTTTCTAAAGATCCTGGATACTGCGACATGTTTCAAAATAATTCATAATCATCGTTTCACCTCTCAACGAGACTATTGTCCCTGTATTCAAAGTGACCGAAACCTCTAATTATACAGAGTGTCACGGTGCTGTAAAAATGTATTATTTTACAAAATAATATCAAGCGAGCATATAGAAGAATGAAAAATGAAAGTGATTAGTGTTGACAATTAAAACAAAAAAGCCGTTTATTCGAATGGGAAAAAAAAAGAAATTTAAACAAAGTTTTCCAGATTAAAGGAAAGAGTAGACACCTTTAATTTCTTTGATACCTTTAACAGGCGTTAACTCACAATTGGCTTCCTATGAATTTGCATGCTTACCGAATGCCGCAGCACGTAGATTCTTTCACGCTATTCCACAATCTTTATCTCACGCGCTATCAGACTTTAGCTTCGTTGCCTCTATTATACGTGTACACGATATGAAAATACTTAACGAGTCCCAACCGACGTACATGTTAATACAAAAACACATAATATAAACATGACCACGCATTACGATACACGCAATTTTTTTTGCACGATTCTAAATACACTTTTTACCTAAACCGTGGTTTCGTACGTCGTATAACAGATTGTTGTGGCGACAATGATTCGACTTTTCTGCTTATTATCATTATCTGTGCCGTAAATCAAAATGGCTGCTTTCTGCGAGTACGAGCGTTATTAAAAAATTAATTTATATTTCTAAGGGGGCGGTAAGGGTACGAAAATAAAAAAAAAAAACAAGGCAGGAGTCGACGGTTTCTCGTTTATTTTTTTATATACCTGTTTTTTTTTTCATAAATTTATAAATCACGTCCCGTGTATTCGATTACGCGTACAACAGTACATTACATTGTACTTTAACGCTTTTTCAGGTTCAAATCAATTTCGCGGTCTTCCCTGATGGCAAGTTTGATTCAGGTAAAAATAAGGTTCCAAATAAATTTGGTTCCTCCTCCCTCCCCCACACACCAAACCGAGAGAAAAGTTACGACAATCATTGTTCGCTGATATAGTTAATGATTATTATTCGCGTTCAAGTAGATCGTTGAGAGCTCATAATGGTGTATAAAAGTGATCGGAGAGAAATTGGCGGGAAAGCGGGACGATTTTAAAAATGTCATTTAAAGTAAACGGAATCGAATATATATATTTTTTTAATAATTCTTTTTATTTATCGCTACTCAACGTAAAACCATTTTACTTGGTGACTTGTACGCATTACGTATATATACATATATAATACATAGTGTCATAAGAGACATATATATGGTCATTTTATACAGCAACATTTATACTGTCATTATGAAGACACACTTATCGAGTGCGTTCTCTGTATAATGAACTCCAGTGAAATATACCGTATCATCTAGGTAAAACTAGTAAAGTGAACCTCCCGGCACATTAGACGCCGTAGGTCCCACTAAGCCTGCTGACTCCCTTTACTAGCTTTCCCCTTGGTGACAGTAACTTAATTCCTGCGTAGCACGCAGCTTCATTATAATACTTGGACGTACAGATATACATGAAAACACCTTTCTCTCGGTACGAAAATGCTTCTTTTTCATTCAGCGTTCTCAAGGACATCTAGATGGCTTGCACGCAATAGCAATAGTAATAATAATAGCAATAATAATGGTGATGATTGGTAATGATGATAATGCTGATGATGACACTAAATATAATTATAATAAATTAATGACTCGTGATAATCAGAGTGACAGTGATGACACTGCTGACTGTGTCTATATATACACGAAGGGGCAATATTTTAATTAGGTGTTGTAACAATGCATGTTCTGATCATAGAGGTTTAAGGGCTCGTGGGTTATTTCATCTTTTATTTACTTTTTTTTTTTTTTTTTTTTTTTTT